CACGAATCAATATATTAGTGGTCGACAAACAAATATTTTACTCAAAAAACTATTTTCGAATGACTCCAATCAAGCAAGAATAATTGCTACTACGCAGGCTGGCTATGATGATAATGGTCAACCGTGCTATTGCTCTCAAAATCCATTATGCAACGTAGAAACACATTATCAAGATTCAACATCATGGACAATACCTGGTTTATCATTCAAGTGTTTCGTATTTGATTCAGTACTGCAGTCATCTCTCATATGTTGGTATAATCATCGTTGTCTAAACGAAGTGTTAACGAAATTGGTCTTTTTTGATACGTCTAATATTACTATTCTTGATGATAAGCTACCAAGTAGATTTCGTTCGAATACTACAATAAAACTTCTACTCGATCAGATGATGATCGAAGAATGGGCTGCGACAATTAATTACACTGCGTTCTATCATAACTGCTACCCAACGTATTGCACGTATGCTTATTATGCCAAACAGAATGCACTCTATCTTATTGCTACAATGATGGGCATTTTTGGTGGTCTCGATGTTATTCTTCGAATAGTTTGCTTGATTGTTGTTCGATTCTTATTTCGATGTAAGACTGCACCGCCTGGAGTCAGTACATTGTTCCTGAACACACCAAACACGCCTACTCGTAAGTAATGGAAAGTTTCATTCGCAGATGAAAACAATGAAGTCTACATCCAGAGAATCATCCTTTTTTTTAAAGAAAACTTGAAATATCGTATGAAAATTAAAATCCATCTTGTTCCAAAAAAATAGAAAAATCACGAATTTCCGTTGGGTGGTTTTTTGTTTTTTTTGAAATCAGTATTATTTCTCATTGAGTGCTATTCTCAAAATAATTGATTTGCTAATCGCTCGAAGAACTTATTTTAGAGCATCCTCGATATCATCTACTTCTTTGCAATGTTTGGAATATTATTCGACATGAAATTAAAACGTATAATTTATTTAAAAGCGGCTTCAACCAACTTCATATTATTAATCGTGAACGTTATTCAACAAGACTCTATTTCTTTCTTTTATCTATCGGTATATTTATCATAATTATTTATTCGATTTCGTCGAAAGAAACTGTTACTGAAAAGATCGAAAGACCCACTCTAGCAATGTACGAAAAATTGTTGCAATCAAATGACTCCACGTGGCGATGCCCATGTTCCGACATATCGATAAGCTACAGTCAATTTATAAAAATAAATATTACATTTCATCAAATTTGTTCAAGTGACTTCGTACAAAAATCGTGGCTTAATTTATTGTTCAGCAACAGCTCTTCATTAATGTACGAGAGTTCTCATTTCCGTATGATTCTATCGGCATATTTCAATTTCCTATCAACATTGTGCACACTTGCACAGACAACCAAACATAATGATATTCTGCGGTTTCTATCAGAAAAATGCATAGGTGCTCAATTGATGCCCGTACCACTGTACCAAATAGTACTCGAAGATGCTATGTATCAAATGAAGGGGCCCAGATCTGGTCGATTAAATCGCATTCTAGGACTTATACAAGGTATTGCATACGGAAATACTTTAATATCCAGTTATTTATTGAATTGGTATTGGCCATTACATAATAATAGCAGTCAGACATTAGCTCGAGCACATGCTATGACTCTTGATAATTCATGTTCATGTAGAGCACACATAGATTGTGTTCAACCCGAAAGCATTTATTCGTCAGCAATAAATAGTTCACATTGGATGATGCCTGGACTAAATATAGGCTGTTCTATTATTGACACAATACAAAATTCAACACTACAATGTTTGTACAATCAAACGTGCATCGATCTATTACAACTCTTTATTCAGAGAAGTCCCGAACGTCTTCCAAATAACATCAATGCAACAGCTTTGAATTCTATGCTACACACTCGTTATCCACCTGGCACTAGTATCCTTCGAATGAGCGATCAGTTATTTTTTCAAGAAGGACTAATTGAGATCTCTTACGTGGAATTCTATAAACAATGTGCTCCAAACTATTGTTCCTATACATTTGAAAAGCACAGCAATTTTCTAGTTATTATTTCAAGGATTTTAGCTCTTTGGGGTGGGCTTACTCTTAGTTTCGGATTTCTTGCTCCATGTATTGTTCGACTGTGGTTCCAAATTAATACTTACCGGCAAAACAGCAGAATACACCCTGCCGCTTAATGTACCTCAATTGCTTGTTTGTCGTTGTATTTTTTATGTAATTTTACAAAATATGACATGAAGTATCAGACTCTTTAAGATAGGGAGTCTGGAGAAGCTCATGAGGGTTTGCTAGAGCAGGAAAAATTATGATAATTTAAAACTCGAGCACATTTTATTTTCCAGTCAGTTATAATTACATGATTAGATAGATCTCCCTGAGCTCTAAAAAACTGTGTACATGAAAAAGTGCTAGCCATATATTTTAATTTAAATTACAGCAGAAAATATTGCCTTTCTTATTCATATTTCTTTAGCATGGCATACTTTACAGTTGAGAAGTTCTATAAGAAAATGCCTAGTACACATCTCATCAGATGTTACATATACATGATCTTCGATCGTCCGTCGAAGCCGTCTCTCATGATGGGTGAGAGTACCGGTCTTTCGTTCAACCACACTCACATCCTGAATAAAGCCCTATAAGGATTTGTATCTATTTTTCCAAACGAATACATATGATTCATTTTTTCTAACTTATTTTTTATGAAGTAGTTTGTTCCAGGCTGTTTTCAACGGTATCGGATAATTAGACAAATTTTTCCAAAACTTTTTGTTCTCAAGTGCTAGCGTACACCACTGCAGTAATTTTTCATCGTCAAGTGATTCCATAATGCCTACAATAAGTTCGTCAATACCCGATGGCTCAATTATTACGTTTTGGCATGAATTCACAAATCTTTCGCTATTAACTGCTGTGCACAATCCCATATTTCCAAAAAACATGACACCATTTTCTTCTCGAGGTTTGTCATGGTGTCTCCTCAGTAACTGTTCAAAATCGTTCATTACACCCTCGAGTTGTTTGTCACTTGCTGCGCATTTGTTTGTACATACAAGAGCGCAAAATATATGCTGATCCATACATTCTTTTAATAACCGGTCTATTTGTTCAAGTTTTGCGTACGAACCGGGCGACGCACAATATATCATACATAGTATATCGGATTTTGGCTTTTGCTTGATACCTTCTATGGTTTTTCGAATCTCTTCTGAACTCCATGTTTCAATGCCCGGTGTGTCCCAAAAATTATACTGATAGTTTATTGTTCCAGAGTTAATTTCAATCGTACCCTTAAGGTAATAGGGAGAGATTTTGTTCGTACAGGCACGAAGTCCAGCACTTGTCTTAGCTAATTGTTTTTCACATATGGCATTGATAAGAGTACTCTTTCCAACTCGTGATGCGCCGCATATTAAAATATTTATCTGATTGAATGTCTCAGTAATATTGTGAATTGCCATAGGGTCGCGAGTTGTTTTTGCACCAATTTCACTAACTTTAGCTGTAAAGTGTTGATAAGTGTTAGCTAATTTTTCTGGCCGAGTTGAAGACGAAGCGTCACTACTTGATGTGACTTCGGCTGTAGAAAACGTTGATTCTTCTTGTTTAGGTTGAACACATGAAGACACCACCGAACACGGATTGTTCATGTTTGATTCTGAGTTTGTGGACGTGGTGGCTTGTGAATCGTCATTCTTGTTGGAAGGAAGGCCACAAAATGTTTTCGATTCAGTATTAACTACAGTATCTCTTTGTGTCACCTCGCCGGTGGCATTACTTTGTAGTAGAACAGAAATGCTTGAAGGTGTTTTTGCGTTTGCCTTTATTTCTATATCGATTTGCGATAGAGATAAATCGTTAATTGGTTGATTTATGATACTTTCTTCGGCGATAGATGACGTCAACTTGAAGCAGAAAAACGAGTTTCATTTTATTCATCAGATCTAAAGATATAGTTTGTCACTTACATTCTTATTATTTTCTGTTTCTATCGTATACTCAGTATCATCAGGTATTATTTGTGGCTCAACGATTCTTCTTGGTGGAACTGTGACCAGAAATGTTCGAAAAAGATCCACAATTTCCCCAAGTTTCGATGTTTTCATGCACACTTGATAGTCAGGATTTTCAATTTCATATGATGTCATTTCTCCAAATGTTTTGTCATCATCCAAGACAGCTTCCTTGTTTAACAAAACGAGATAATAATCGTTGTAATCGATTTTCCCATGAATTATACTTTGCTCGCATACATATTTAATAATATCTTTGATCATAGTGTTTGATGACACTGGCACAATAAAATGTTCACCAGTGTGTCTAAAACGTACAATAATCGTTCTAGATTGCATCATCTGTCCAACTAAAATGTAAAAGACAGCAACATGTATATAGTTGAGAAATGTTTGTATACGAGCTTTGCGACACTCATATCTTCAAAGGACCTATGATTTACTTCTGTTTAGAAAACTGATTACTCATTTTATCTATTCCAAAGAGATGTGGACGTAATAGCAATGTAAGCTTGTCTTGAACGAATTCTTAAGAGCCGTGTTTCCAGTATTGTTACGAAAGCTATACAGACTGACAGCCGTACATATTCACTAAGAAAAATATGCTTTGTGACTTTATGAGTCAATCGCATGGTGATGGTGAAATAACTAGAAAGAAATTGAAACAGAACGTTGCATCTCTCTGCATCGAAAAAATCCTTTCTGCAATGTTAATATCACTTAAAGTGCTTCTTTGACATTGCAACAAATAACAAATACTTATTTCAATTTCAAAGTTACGTTTTTGCCGTCATTTACGACAGAATCGTGAAATGTAAAAATATGATTCACTTTCTTGACTCATGAGGCTACCACCCGAGGTGACACCGTACGGTTTCATTCATCTTTTTTCATATAGTTGAATATATTGAGTTTGTTTGTCAGTAAAAAACTTAAAAGGATTTTTCTCGAATGTTCTTTCATCAAAAAGTATCGACGTTTATCTATCTTTACCCTTATACAAGTTGAAAATTTTTTAAAAATCATAATTTAACTAAAGTAAATTACAGTGATCTGAAATTTTAACTATAGATGAACCGGCCATTTTACTGAATTTCTTTAACATTACCCGCTTGCTAACGCCATCTGGTGTGCGGTTATATATAGCATTGTATAAAGACATAAAATGCTAATGTCTTTTCTTTCTTATATTTATAAATGAGACGTGACCAAGTTCCCAGGAGTCGGGAACTCTTCGGGAATTGGGAAATCAAAAATAAATAAGCGACACCGAGCGATGTGAAACCATAACACGTGAAGCATCCCATGGAAGTCAGGGAACTCAAGGACCTCAGAGAATCAAACGAGCTCACGGATTTCAAGTAACTCTGGGAAAGCAACGTTTTCCTGACTGGTCGATAGGATCAATTTTGAGCTGAAAGCATGTGAAATGAAAACATTTTTCTCTAAAGAAAAGATTCGCGTGCAAAAATGCGTTGTGTTCTTTCACTGACGTTATCAATGAAATTCTGATTGCATGAAGCACGCTTTATCAGGTAAGCTATCGTGGAAGAATTTCGTATGCTTTGCACAAGTTAAGAGATGTGATGCGGTCTAGAAGAGTAAAATTTTCGCTACCTGGGTGTGGGTGGATGTGGGTGTTGCTATTCTAACTAATTCATCCACACCCCACTCGGTGCGTTATAGAAGGGTGTGGGTGTGTGTGTGTGTGTGCTTTTCTACAGAATATCATACACTTACACCCAAGGCGGATGAAATCGATTTTTCTTCATTCAAACTTGTCAAATGGCCAATACTAGACAGGAATTAAAAACAACACCATCGACAAGCGATGAAGGAAAGAGACATATGATTCAAAGGTTTTCTTAGCTATTCTAACACTTTATTGATAATCATGGCATGGAAGTGTGCCTTCTCTTCGCTCACAGATAAAAAAAATCAGCAGCTTTTAATATATCATCACCGTAATATATGTGTCATTACATAAGTGCACCCAGGTCAAATCTCCCCGGTAGGATCCTACAGGAACCACGGATAATCCGACAAAATCCGACAGTCGGATCCCACCGGTNCCGACGAATTCCGACCGGAACCCGTTGGAAGCTGTCGGATTCCTATCGGAAAATATCGGATTATTCAAGGTTTCCGATGGGATCCGACAGGATCCGAGGTTCAGATCGTTCGACCTGGGTGATTATTTATTATTAGGATTTAATCAGTATAGTAGTATATAACCAGGATTCTTATGTATACTAAATCTCAGCTATGAATCACGGGACCCATATGAAACTTACAGGGGACGGTATTGGATCCAAATGATGAGTATTCAACAAAACATTTTTGTGATGGGACCTTACGAAAAAAAAAGCACGGTTTCTTTCTGTGTCCCATCAAGATTCCTATGATGCTGTTATTAATATTCTGTTCTTTAGAATTTAATAGTAAGCTACATGTTGACATAATTTTAGCGAAATTTCGAAACGTTATAACCCCTGAACGACTTCATAATTTTAGATAAAATTCAAAATCTGTTGATCAAATTCAATGTAGTTTACTACTAAACTCTAAAGAACAGAATATTACTAACAACAACAGAGAAATCTTGATGGGACACAGGAAGAAACCTTGCTTTGTTTCGTTCAGTCACATTGCAAAAGTTTCTTGTTTGATGGTCACCATTTGGATTCAATAATGCCCCCTAAAAGATTCATATGGGTCCCATGATTCATAGCTGAGATTCAGTATACATAAGAATCCTGGTTACGCTCAGTGTTGCCAACTCCAAAAGTTCGAAAAAAAGAAATTCACCAACAGAAAGCAGAAAAAAGCAGAAAGTATATTTTTTCTGTTAAATCATTTTTCAAGTTAGATTGAATGAAATGATGAGAACTTTGACAAAAAGCTTCAATGTTTATTATAGAAAGCACAATAAGAAATTTATTGATTAGATGCTTTTTTGAAATCGTATTTTTAATTGATTTAATAGCCTTATAATAAATCTTGACTGGATCATAAATATTTATGCATTTCAGTGCATTGCAAAGTAGAATTGAAGGGTATTTTTATTTCTGCTGAAATCAACTCTGTTGACATGCGCGATTTATTGTGTCATTAAATAGGTAGTATTTTCCAACCAGTGAAAAACAATAATTCAATTTAGTATTCAATAAAGATGGCACAATCGCACCAACAAAACTTAATCAGAATTTTTGTTCACATTATTTGAAAAATTGATATAGCATACTAAAAAAAATAATTGAAATATCCTCAAAAGCAAAAAATAGCAGAATTTTTCGGCTAAAAGCAGAAGGGTTGGCAACACTAGTTACACCACTAAATAAGTAGTAAAAAAAGAACAAAAGCAAAGAGTATAGAATAATGCGTTATTGATGCTGAGTTACGAGAGATTCGATTCAGATAATCTCTCACGGTTTCATGGACGCTATCGATAGCTTTAACATTCTCAGTATTCGAATAATTAGCACCCGTTGATACAAATCCGTGTGCCATGTTTGAATATGTTTCATATTGGCACTGACCAGCTACCCTGGGACTTGTCCATTGTTCAATGACACTCGAAATATTGGGCTGCAACGGTGGATCATCACCAGCAGCAATGAATAGTACTGGTTGTTGTAAATTACGAACTTCATCTTCTGTCAACCATGCACCATGAATTGAAATACCTGTGAAAAATTGTGACGATAGATTCGAACAAGCTCGTGCAACTTGTAGACCGCCCCAACAGAACCCAACAAGTGCAACGCGATGAGTTGTTGACTTTTTTCGAAGCCATGAAGCAACAGTGTTAAGATCTGATGATACTTGAGACCAGTTACCAATTAGAGATAATACATCACTAAGATTCTCTAAGTGTGGCGATGCTGTTTTACCACGAAAGAAATCTGGCATAGCCACTTGTACTTTATACTGTGCAGAGAGACGATCGCAAAATACACGTGTTTGACTTACATTGAATCCAAATACATCATAGATTACAATAACCGATAGATCATTAGCTGAATTTTCATTACTGCCAACCGTATAAACATCGACATTGTCTACCCGAACTACTTGACCTTTTGGATAGGTCTCATTCCATGCGGCTATTGTTTCAGTAGCCTGAATTTCTAAAAAGAAAACAAAATTGAACTTCATACAGTATTATTCTACTGATTCTTACTCACCCAAGATGGTTATATAAAGAGCTAATATACAAAACAATTGCATCCTACTACTATACTGCTCTCTAGTATAACATGCACACAGTGGCAATGAATCGAATAGTAATAAAACTGCTGGTAAATATTTGCTGATTATAATCTAGAACAATGACAAGTTTCAAGGTAAAATATCAAGTGGCTTGATATCTATATGATACAAAATTAAATGTCACGTTTTTTTTTTATTACTGCATCGAAATATATAAGCAGAATAATTCGATATAGCTACTCCAAATTATTGTATTGTAACGGAACAGAATAAAAGATTACAATACAATACATACGATATTCAAGATAACGAAGAGCATTACACTTAAAAGAAAGTTACTGTTTCGTCACTTTGAAATCATACACTATCAAACCACAGAAAAATGACTGGGAATTATGCAACTTATGTAAATCACATATTAAAATTGACGGTTCTGTAACACTTGTGCAGAGCATCATTCAAGAAATAACAACCTGTTAATTGAAACGACTAGCTTCTATTTTTCAAAAACATGTTGCGTATTTAATGTTTTAAAAATTTAGCGCTGCAATTCAATGATACAAAATGGATACTTTCATCAACTGAGTTTCAACATTTGAATAAAAACTACCTTCATTGATTGACATTGTTCCAGTGTTCATTTTAATCATACAGCCTAAAGTACATTAAAATTAATGTTTTGAGTTTGTGAGTGTCAATATTGTATCAAAGTATCCACGCCCTCGCGATCGTTGTTAAAAGATCTGTAGTGTTTTTTATTAATACAACATTGTTCGCCGGGAGAATATTTACGCTTTTGAATGCAATTTCATTGAATGATGAGTGTCGGCACAGGTGTATCGCGATCTATATGAAGAATAAAAGATTAACACACACATCGCTGCTGTTTTCATCAAAAAGTTGTATGAATTAACGATTTCAGCTTTTCCAAGCAAACGATATTTTTACTGAAAAAATTCGAATAATACGGAAAAGTTCATGTCAACAGCTAATTCATATTGTTTAATCGTATTTATTTTCCTATTGGTATACATCCTATCTTAACTATGGCTACGTCAATCTTTTTTTTGTTTTCGACTTCGCTTACAGCATTTCACAAAACAATATAAAACGATCATCGCAGGTAGCACAATAAACACAAGCATTAAATCCAGCATATAACGTTGATAAAATGGTGCATAACGACTCAAATCGCCATTTAAATTTACTAAAAGTTCTATTTCTTCCACAGCTCGTTTAACACCACCAGCATGTTTCATTTCAAGTGACATAAGTCGAGCGGCTTGCTCATAATAAGTATTTCTCCACATGGTCAACACCTTTTTTGTTACACTACTAGCTGAAAAAGTATAATCATGATAATCCTGCGGTTTTAGTAATGATTCTACTATAGAGGAGGGCGGTTCGAATAACGATTGTCCAACACCTGAATTTTGAATCGCAATGGAATTTGCAAATTGGTCAGTGTGTATCGGTAAGCATAATATAGGCTTTTGAAAATAAAGTCCTTCTACACTTGAACCCATACCACAATGACTTAAGAATATATGAATTGAATTCTGTTGTAAAATCCATTTTTGTTGAACAAATCGATGTTCAATTTTAACTCGTTGATCATCCAGCATAACTCGTCGATATTCAACATTTTCCATCTCATTGACAACAACGTGATAGTTATCATAATTTCTACCACGCAATGCCAATATAACAGAAGTCGAATCTGTTTGTAAAAGAAATTCGACTAAACCATAGATCAAATTCTTCATTCTATCAAATCGAACGATACCCGTACCAGAGCACCGCGTGGGATGGGACAATCCCATCCCATCCCATCCCATACGTCCCATGGGATGCAACTTTTTAAATAAAAGCTCATGGGATGGGATGGGACGGAAATTTTTTGAGAGTCGTCCCATCCCATGGGACAAAAATTTCTTCGTCCCACCCATCGCCCCATGGGACGAAGAAATATTATATGAATCTATTCATTTTTACTAAAAATAGTATAGTCGTTTCAATATAGATGTCNCGTCCTCCGGAATCATTGACCTGGGCTCGATCGATGATAATCAAAAAAAATTTGAGACCTTAAAAAACATTTGACATTTCAGACGTCCCATGGGATGGGACGGGATGGGATGGGATGGGACGAAAAATGTTTAATCGCATCCCATCCCATGGCGGGACAACTTTTTTTTTATTTGTCCCATCCCATGGGACAAGCTATTGAAATCTGTCCCATGGGATGATTTTTTGCGTCCCATCCCATCCCAGGCGGAGCTCTGACCCGTACTACCAAAAGCAGCATAGAGAATCGAATTCTTTGGTTTTATTTTGATCCATCTGTTAAGATCGTTATCAACATAGACAACCGACGATTCATCTATGAATCCGCCAAGATATTTCGTAAGATGATCTGGATATTATGGTGGATAGAGTGTTGGTGGTAGGCTACATAAGTTCAAACAGCTTGTTTTGCTTAACAGTAAATTTTTTAATGTGAAAGTATCATAAAATGGTCCTTGTATTTGTGGAAATGATTGAAAAATAATGTAGAATGATTCCATCAACTGTTTGAAAATGCTCATTATCAAGCGGAAATAAAAAACAACATTATAAATACGATACTTGAATTGAGTTATTTGCTTTGCTGACAGCAACGAATAGCTTGTGGGTAGATTTACATAAAAAATATTCAATTTCATTTCTGCTCTCTGTATTACACACGATGTATTGGCTTTTTCGCATAAAGCAGCAGTGCCTAAAACTAATGAACTACTAATGATGACATCAAACCGGTCGGACATTAACGCATCTATTGCTTTATGCATTAGTGCATTCGTTATTCGGCCAACAGCTGGCATTATATGAAAAACACCATCAAATACTGAATGATTCATAAAATATTCGATAATCTCTTGTTCGATTTTATTTTCTTCCGTAATTGCATCAGTTGAATCATTTGTAAAAATCAAACGAAACGAAGATCTATTTGAATAGTTTTCAGTATTGATATATGCTTGTGCAAATGCTTCAGTAATAAAAGTTACATTATGATTTTTCATTGCTTTAGCTAATTCAAACATTGGGATAGAATGGCCAGCTGCGCCAAGCGTCAAAAACAAAGCATTCAAACCCAATGATTGAGAAATGTTTCCTAATAATATGAGAAGTAACAAATAAATACGAACCATAATATATATGGCAATAATGACGCTGTTGAAGTAATAATAAAAACCGAGGCGTACTTTTTTATCGAGGCTTGCTGTTTCTTTGTGTGCTCTAATCTAATGCAAATATTTGAGTTTATGTCAAAATAAATGTCCTTACTAGGATTCAAGGCGAGTGAGCGTAAGCTCAAACTATGTGTTGTAAATTTACGAAGAAAAACGTCAGCCTAATATTTTATGTGGATAAAAATCAATTTTCAAATCAAATAAGAAACAAGATTGATTCTGTCAAGGTTCTGATGTCGTTGATTATTAGCGTTTTTTAATTTCAATATATCTGCTTGTAACCCCGCTGGTTTGAGATTTGCATATGAACTTTGCTTAGTTCGTTGTATTGTTCGATTTAATAAATGCCCAATGAATTACGTATCAGATCATTCGACATTCAAGATGAATTGCGCGTACTGTGAACGGCATACGATAACATCCAAATGGCATGTATAACATGATGCACGTTCGTGATTGAAGTACGATTCGTCTTTTAGTTATTGATTCGAATACAAAGACAAATAGATTTTAAGCCATAATAAAATATTGAGTTCCCATCTACACGGTATTTATTGAAAACGTCGACAGCAAAAATGTCGAAAACGAGATATCGAAAAATAAATGTCAAACATATACAATATCGAAAATTGTGAGATATCGTTATAAAACAATATTGATTTTGTTTTATTTTATTTTCTATTTCTCAGTAGAATTTCAATGATTAGCTAAATAATTTTCCTGAATAAGTAATTTTGTGAGCGAACATCCTAGAATGCAGCACATATCGAAACTACAAAAAGAACAAAGAACACAATCAAAGTATTGTTATACGGTCTTCTACATATTTCGCTTGCTTTCAGATATTGCAGTACACATTTTTGTAGCTTCATCACTTAATTCTTTCGACTGTATAATACCCACTAATACAAGTTCTATATCTTTTCTTGATTCCAACAAAATTTATTGACAATTGATTCGGAATGGCTTCTTTTACAAATTCAATAGAAAAACATCTTCGCAGATATATTGGATCTGGAAAACTAAGAATTGCAAAGGCAAGGTTCATACTGATTGGAATAATAATTGTTTTAACTTGAAAGGGTACCGTAATTATCTATTTCAACCAGAAGGTCTTGAAGCTCAATGCTTTCGAAATATTCTTAAGGATCGATTTTTTTCGACGTTTTCACATCCATCCATCTACACATCAGTTTACTTTTTATTATCCTAGAACTGACCATTAAAAATTTTCGTGTGAGAATACGACATTGAGATTATTCACTGAAAAACATGGGATAGAAAGACGTCATATTCTACGCAACTGTAAAAAAGGAATTCTTTCTCTCTGGCTAAGGCCACAGTGACCGATTTAGATCAAAGATGCTTTTTTAAGCTCTAATTTTCATATATCATCAATTCATTTTGGATTTCAACAAGCAAAGCCTGCATGAAAACATATACACGTTTGTTTTCTAGTAACAATCTCCTCATCATCTCTCGAGCATCTATCAATTCAATGTACTGATTACAGCATGAAAGTAATAGCTCATTTACTAGAGCATAGATCGTACCACCTAAATTTTCGCATTTTTCAGAATTTATTTTCCATCATGTAAACATTATAACTGTTCTGGAATCCCCCTGAACCGAATATGGCAAGATTTCTTATTGAAGAATTAATGCAGATGTGTACGAGAAGTGACTATGCGTGCGGACTCATATATTTCTTGAGGTAATATCCGGATTCAACTATCGAGTCATCTAGACTTGTAAGAACCTAAATTCCTGGCCAGATGTTCACGAGAATCCAAATTAACGTTTAATTCAATATATAAAAACACAGTATTGGTACAAAATGTCATTTTTTTGACCTATTTTTGTGCACTTTCCAACGGCCTTTTATGAGAGAAGAAAGTCCCCATTTTGTTGGGATATTTTCCAAATAAATGATGCGTTGATCATTAGTTTTGTCAATGTCAATGCTTGTCACATGAAAGATTGTCAGTGGTAATACCAGAACTTCATGTTCATCGTCGAAATCAGATATTCCAGGTAGATTATCAGATGAGGAAAAAAGTTGAATGGCAGTGTCACATCTTTTTCGAAAGTTGAACACCATTAAAACGCCAATTTTGTCTGAAGATGACCTACCAATAAAAGAACGGGCCACATTTTCATCGATGGATGTTGAACACAAGATATTTGCGCTAAGAATACTACCCTTATGCTGTAGAGTCCATTGATATTGTTGTAGATTTTCTTGAGTCATTGTTAGCCCGCGGAATGACTGACCCTGAAATGCACGCTTTCGCAAACTGTTCAATTGATATAAAACTGGAATTGCTAAACAATCATTTTTTGCACTTCTACCAAGATTCTTGTAGAAAGGCGTCTCAAGTGAATAGAGTCGTAAGAGATGTTCAACATTATCGTTTTTCTTATATTTCGAGACAAGTTCACATGCTTTATTATACTCAGAATGTGATGGAGTGATGTATTCATCGATAAGACATTGTAATTATTTCACAGCTGTATCTTTGTCGTATACAGAACCTGTAAAATCATTGTTACGAATCACATGTTTCAGCAATGGCTGTAGTATCGGCGATGTTGCCATAGTTTTTGTAATATGCATACTTGCCTCCAAAATAAGAGTCTCCAGTTGGTTACGATCTGCATAAACCCAACCACTGGGCGTCTGATCATGGTTCTCTTCGGCTGGTGATTGCCCATCAATGGTAGTAGTAAAGATATGTGGTGCATCGTCTATTGTATCACTACGGAATCTTTGTGAACTCAATGAGCGATGGAAGAGTTGACGAATTTCATCTTTAGATGCTACTTCGTATGCGGTGAGACCATCGGCATTTCGTTGATCTCGCACAACGCCATGTTGAAGAAGAAGTTGCACAATATCGGCATGACCAAAGAATGCAGCTGCATGCAAGGATGTACTTCCATTCGGTTCGAGACGATTGATATCGGCATGGCTGGTGGATGAAAGAATGTCTCGAACTAGATAAATATTGCCCGTTTGGCATGCTCGGTAGAGATTACTAACTTCACTTTGTTGAGAATGACGAAAAAGCGATGTCTTTCTTTTCATTTTGCTACTTATTTCGCTGTCCATCGACAGTGCTTATTCTCAAAAATGAGAAGAACGAGAATAAAATGAATATATTTGATTGTAAATCAAACGATGAGTAATGAGCTATAATTATTTCAACAGACAAGAGAGAGAAAAAACTTATTTTGCGTGTGTGATATATGCTGTGCGTCATTTTCTTTCTTTCTTTATTTGTACAAAATTACGCAGTAACATATCCTCTTATATTCATGACGGCAAAGATTTATCTCTAGAGTGGGCAAGAAGTCAGGAAATAAGAAAAATATTGAACATTTCTACGTTGTTCGAAACAACCGGGTGGGCATGCGTGTAGCTTTATTGTAAAGATAAAACAAGGACTATGTTCTATACAAACATGGAAACAGAGATTTATGTTCATTTTCAAAACAAAAATCAACTTTTAGATGACTTCATTATTAAATAAATTTAAAACTATTTTAGAATGGCAATCAGGTGAGTTCAATCGCACTCTTCGACTACACTCTAAAAACAACGGTTCTTCCTGTGTACCTGAGGAAAGAAACTTTTTAGGTTCGGTATGGAACCTATTGCTCTTTAGAGTGTAGCATGTTGAGTTTGGTTCACCTTGGCCAACTACTTGTAGGAATCGGAACGTGCTGTTCACAGGAACGTTTTTACGATGATTTTTTGTTGAAAAAGTAAACATTCGATACAAATAAAAAACAATCAAGTTTGAAAGACATGTTTGACTAAATTGAGCAAATATATCCATATCCAGGTCGTACACAGCTGAACGCTAGGAATAAAATTCAACAAATAATTCATTTCATAGTAACTCCTCTTGCTTAGAGTGTGGATTTGCACGTTGGTGCAGATTTAAACAGGGCATCCTCATGCGTGCACACTTTCGAGAATAAAAGGTTAAAATACAACGGAAGATAAATATTGTCAAAGAAGGCACTAAAGTTGACTATCATATTCCAAGACAAGATATTATTCAACTTTATTACTTTTCAATGATGTAGCGAATGCAGCGTGTATTCATTTTCATTTGTCAAAAATAAAGTATGCACAATAGAATATCGCTTTGTTGTCAATTTTCAGGACAGCGAAGAGCATTAAACTTGAAAAAAAATGATCGAACTAATCTTTCGAAACAGATAATTTCACTGAGATTTCTAATTACTGTATGAAAATGTTAAAGGCGAAATGAAACTTTAAATGTGGGGGAAAATGTTGTGTTTCGAACGGCAAGACTTTCTCATTCAGTTTATGTGCTTCCCACTACCATTAGGTTATTATCTTCAAATGTTCCACCTCGTTAAAATCATACACTATCAAACTACAGAATAATGGCTGGAAATCGTGCAACTTATGTAAATCAAATCTTAAAATTGAGGTTTCTGTAAGACTTGTGCAGAACATCATTCAAGGAATGGCAACCTGCTATTCGAAACAACTTCTGGTCTTCACATGCAAGTTGCGTTTTTCTCAAACATAAAGTTCCGCTTCCTATTTAATATTGTGGATATAGTTCAATGGTTAAAATGGGTATTTTCATCAGCTGAGCTTCATCATTTGAATAAAAACTACCTTCACTGAATGCCGTTATTCTAGTATTCTTTTTAATCATGCGGTCTCAGTTACATTGATTCATATCTGTCTCACCGCCCGAAACACTGTTTTTAAATGTTTTAACATTATGAGTGTCAATATCGTATGGCAGTATTTATGCATATACTCACACACACACACACACCCACACCCTATGACAAAATATTTTCTTTCTAAGAGATGTTTTTTTGTAGTATCTCGCCAGGGACGGCGCGAAGCAACAAAAATATAGGGGGGTTACTTGAAAACAGGAGGTTTTTTTTCAAAAATCGGAGTAAATCAATAAAAATCTCTTCTATTTTCTTCAAATCGGAGTAAAATTGAAACAAAAATTTCCAAATGTGGGTCCCCCCCCCCCCCCGTTCGCGCCGTCCCTGTGTCTTGCGAATTCCACAGTCAACTGGATTTTCATTTCAGCTGTACCATGCATATTTTTTCACAAACTAGCTACGGTGACTCACTATAAAGTTCTCGAGCATTTGAGATAAATTCCATGTGATTCTTCATTACATACATTTTAATACATCCTGAATAAATTAACCAATTTCAAAGAAATTATCCTGGAAATCCCTGGTGAGTGCGTGTTTAAGTTAACAGAAATCTCACACTAAAGTAAGATGCCTGCGCATTTTGTGCAGCGAATAAATTATCGCTCGAACGATGACTCATGCGGCACCACGAGGAAAGAATAACCATCGAAACGGTATTGAATCGATTTTTTTAGTATATGACTACACGAGTGTATCGTGAAACTCTTGTGTCAATATATGTCGATCGAACAAAATTTGTACTCGATATGTACTGCGTCCTTTTTTTAGTTTTCAAAACTTTCATTCATTATAAGTGATTGACTGACTTCACAACTATCATTTGTTCTCGACCTGAATGAGATGTAAGTTGGTTTCAAATTATTACTACATTTTTTTTACCACACGTTTCATCTGTTTTCTCCCAATCATACTAATAATGCAGAGTGTGAAGAGAATAGAATAGATTAAACAATAGAATCACAGATTGCTAAATCTAACACAATAGCCATTTATAAAACAGTATAACTAAAATAATTATTTTTTTCGATTTATTTTAGTATTACACCTAAATTCAATCATGTCCTTAGAAAACGAATTTGCTTTAGAAACAGAAAATAATCAATTAAAGCAATGCCGAATATGTTGGGATGATGATAAGCCTAGTGATATAATTAGTCCTTGCTTATGTAGCGGTGGTTCAGCGTATGTTCATAGAAAATGTTTAAACGATTGGCGATCAGAAAATATAGGTAGCGAAAGCTTCAAATTTTGTGATGTATGCAAATTCGAATTCGTCATCGAAACTGTTCTAAGCGATTCGAAAACCGAAAGACAGCGTCTGTTGAAATATCATTTATTTGTTATTCGAGATTCAACAGTAATTATTTTAATGGTTCAAACAGTGATTATTGGATTGGCGTTCTTATTAAAAATGATTGATAAAACTAATGAAACGTTGAAGAAATTATTTCCACATTCAATCAACGGATTTACAGTTTATTATTTAAGTGCTTTCCTTTTATTATTAGCACTTGCAGGCGTTATTATTTTTATTATTCTTCTTTGCGTCAGCGGGAATAGCTCGAGTAGTCATAGTCATGTTAGTAGAAGTTCTTCTCTTAGTCGCTGTATGAATACAAATGGATTCGTTACCGGTATAATAATCAATGTCATTATATGTGCTTTCATCGGCTTTTTCTTTGGAATAATCATAAGTGTGATTATGATAAGAAAAATCATGAAGCATCATACAAGTAAACTATGGTTACGGCAAGAAGCAGAAAAATATGTTATAAAAGATTCTCAAGGCCAAAAAAAAGACTTAGAAGATAAAATCTTGATTCAAATTAAAGATATTATTGTTAGGCATTAAACATTGCTATTAGCTTTTACTAATGCATCATGTTTATCATAATAAAATCAATAGACTACGTAGAAAATCATCTGCTCAGAAGAAAAGCTCTAAGATGTTCTGTCACAAAACTTCAGAAATTCATTATATTGGAATTCGTGTATGTGCTAAAATGATACCTACATTCGTACTAGTTATCATGCATGAAGTCTTATTTGTAGTTCAAGCAAATAAAGTTTTTGGACGACAGTCACATGATGTACCACAAATAGAGATTCGGAGTCTTTTTCCAGCTGAAATATCTACTTTGTGATGAAAAAGAGTTTCCATTTAACAACAAAAAGCATTTTTTCTCACCACTTCATAGCATGGATATATGATTTCATGATGCTGTTGGTCACAATAATTTTTGCCCGGCACGCTGCAAGTCATTTCATTCATATAATAGAATAATTTATTCCTTGTGAAGCACTCACATCGAAAACAAGGCTGTTTTGCTTTAGCTATTTATTTTCATGCTGCGCTATTGCACATTTAGAGCCTGTTAAACTCATGTAAATCATATTTTTTGTGCAAACTTATCTGTTAATGATGTTTTAAAAGCTACCGCATGCGAAACGATCGAATGTAAACATGAATCTATAACTATCCTATCGAAAGGTGTTCTATGCTAAAACAGTTGAATTTTTCACTAAGAAATGATTATATCATCAATAAATGAAAAAGAAGGAATGTGTTAAGGCGTACTGAAAACAATGACAATTGAATAGTGTTCACTTGATTTGATTTTAAAACATCTTCCTGCAAGGAGACCCATAGTTTACTTTTATCTCATTTTTTTTAGAGAAATCTATCATGATTTATTTTTAAACGCGCATCTTTGCAATCTCGTTGGCTGATTTTGAATTTAAAAAAATTATCAATAGAAACTATTTGTTTCTTCATTATACATTCTGTAAATCCATTGGTCGAAAATCACATCAAAGAATGAATTAGGAAGCTATTAAAAATCAGATTAGTAAAGCTCTATACCGGAAAGTTGCCTGTATCCTTCTGCATTTTTATTTGATCAGAACTATTTATAGATACCGAACAAAAAGCGAAATAAATCTTTTAGAAACCTCGTTTTGCTCCCATAAATATTAAATAGCTTTCAGATTGATTGCAAATACGAAAAAAAAGAATCTGAATGAATTAGCTCGGAAGAAAATACTAAATAAAAACCTCTTGATGTGTACAAGTATAACATCTGTATCCTTATTAATTTCTGTATGAGCCCTGCAGAAGCATTTTCTTTTGACATATTGCAACTGATTTGATGTAAATATAGGCAGCTAATTTTTATCTAGCATACATTTCACTTTTCGTTATATTTCGAGAAGAAAACGTGTACTACATTACTACCGTTTGAATAAGTTATGACGGTTTTTATTATTTTTTCATCAAACTCTGATCAACATGCATTGGAGTATCAACACAAGCCTGATTGGTTTCCTTTAGTACTGTATACATATGTATATACAGGTATCAAGCTAGGCCAGTTTTTCTAATGTTTAAATAAATATGAAAAATAAATATATATATATGCACCTGTGTGTAAATTGTGCAGCAATATATATTTTAATAAATTATGTGTGAACTAATCTTTCACTTGTCGAGGTTTATAGGTTGAAGATTACAAGTCGTCGTGTGTCTCATGATAGCAACTGGAATAGTAAAAGTAAGATAAAAATGAATAGTAAACAATACCATGAATTATCTATCTATTTTTGTTTGTAAGTCATTCATACCAATGAAGTATTCGGTTGACGATCAAGAATAATTTGCTGAGAAATGAATTCGATCGATATTGGGAGGTTGAGTTTCTTGTCACATGAAAATAAACCGTAAGTTCAGTTTCGAAGATTTCATTTGTTTTTATACAGTAGGATAGGATTTCTCTCCCAAGTCAACATACTCATGACATCTTACAATGCGTCACAGCAAAATGATGCTAGAAACGAAGATGGGAAAGAATTAATTCTCAATAAATATGTGTTTTCTATTTCTTCATCAATTCGTCAGTTTTGATCCTCTAGAAATAAACACTTTCGGTCTTAGAATTAACAGTTGCAAAGGCACATTGTTCGAGAATTTTTTAGTATTTTTGGCATCTGGAACTGTAAGTCCTTTTAAAAATTTATTGAAGTTTCAGCAGTTTGTAGTATGTACCGTTCGACTCAGTGCAAAATTCCATTTTGGTTAATAGCTGGGAGTTTGAAAGGAAGCTTTTTTTGTTTTAATGCATCGTGAAATAGTACTATTCATGTCATAGTGTGATGTGACGCTGCAAACAATATGTTACCACCACTGAGATATATTCAGTCGATAGTAAAAACTTCTGAATTTTAAATTAAGAAAATTTTTCGAAAACTAGATGATGTTTATGCTCTTCAGAATAGATAAAACGATTTTTCAATATCTTGCAGTTGAAATTCGTTAGTTTTCGTCGTGTTGCGTTTCTGATATAAAACTGTATTATAATTTTCTCTAGAATAATCGTTGACATATACTTTGAGGTATGGACGCAAGTTCGGTGGCAGGTTTTCCGATAAAGTTATGAGTGAGCTGACCATCTTGAGTACATGAGACCCACACCTTACATTTAGAGGCTCACTCTAACCTTATTACAGATATACGACTATCATAGTTACCCTCACATGCTAGAGATCTGATTCGTTTTTCATTCCCTATGTCATAAAAATCCCGACGGAATCGTGCGATTATATCGCGATATAGCGTCAATTTTCTTTAAATTTATTGTTGTACAAAAATAACACAATAAATAGGTAAAAAAGAGTAGTCTATAGAAAAAGTACAAAATAGATTGAGCATGGAGACAAATAGCTAGCTTAACGAAAAAATCATGATTAATCGTCTAAACTGCGGCGATTTCGGTGACATGGGGATCGACACACAAATCTATTTCTTCTTGTATTTTTGAATTTACTAGTAGCCATGTTATTTTTATATTCATGACGATGAGATTCTCAATTGTTTTTGTGCTACAAATGTTGAATAGATATTTGATATATTTATATTATACAATGAAAAGTAACCGATTATTATATAGATTTTTCTTTTTCTTTTTACAAATTCACAAAGAAGCTTCCAAATAAAAGCACCTAATATAGTGACTGTTTTAAATTATGTACAAATTGAGCCATGATTCAAGTGAAAGGCAAGTAATGAGATGCATGTGATATATTCTTCTATTGTGCATAAACTCATTGGTTCTCTGTACCCCGGTCGAAGAAAACGATCAGTAAACGGTCGTATACGATACAAATACGACCCGTTTTACGAGCCGTATTTTCCCCGTATAGCAGGGGCAGTAACACGGCCGTATGTTCTATACAATACGATAATATTACGCCCGCTGTACGAGGTTTTACGACTGATATACGGTGTCCGTGTATGGCCGTAATACTGTACCAGTTAAAACGCCTTAATTCGGCTTAAAACGGCCGTTTTACGACGGAATATGATGCAAAAACGACTGTTTACGGTAATGTTACACCGGTTTACTGTGGTCCGTTTTGATCGATCTAAGTATCTTGTGCCTCCTTTAAAATAAAAAAAATGATGTACTTATTAGAATGAATGATAGATATTTATGACTTACTTCAGACAGCGCATATTCCGCACTCGTGGGTACGGGTTCTACGACCTCCTCGCTGATCGGGTCCGGCTCTTCGTCAGGTTCCTATTAAATAAATAAAATTGTAATAGTGAAAAGTATTCAAATTACTAAACAGTAAATTATTACTTACTGGCATGTTTGACAATGTCTGTTGATTACTGAAAATCATTGATTCCTAGAAAAAAAAATAAAAGTATGAAATTCTGTTGCAATCGCAAATTGAAATGTCTTAATTTGAGAAAAAAAAACGAAGGTAACTCAAAAGTCTAATTTTTATATTGATCGAAAATTTCAATGTTGCATTTGCCTATGCAACGATCACATTTTCAGCTCAGTTATTCAAGAAACAAAGAAAGCAGAAAGCCAGTTGACCGTGTACCATCACAGATACATATAATCGATTCATTAGTGAAAAGGAAGTTATATCCATCTCGTCTAGACTCGCACACCGACAGCAGATCAAGTAGGAAAAAGATGATCATCTCAAATTATCGTTTACTAATCTCTGTTGGACGAACTTATTCTCTTACCTGTTCGGAATAAGTGATGGACTATGGCAGATTTTGGAGTTGATATCTGGATGGTATATCGAGTGCCTTCATATACATGTATATATATATATACCTATAACCAATGGATTAACGAAAACTTGCAAAATTTCATCAAAAATTATCACATAACAAGGAAAGTAGTGAAATTCGCTCGACTGTCTACGAACGTCATATTCGCAACGATAGACACAAGAGAAATAAACCCAAGTGGTTTATTTACCGATTCTTGCGTAAACATTATAGGCAAATAAGTAAAAAGTAAATCATACCTATGCGTCACCAATACCTAAAGCGCCTTTTCGCAGAAATTTATTACGAAATGATAAGTTGGAATAAAAAAAGTTTCTCAATCGCGACGATATCGCCGAACAGAGTTACGAAGACAAATATCATTACTCTTCTCGATTGGATATCTTTCGTTGGAAGAAAAAGACAGAAAATGCAAAACTTCGATCTAGAACTACGTTGTCTTGTTATCTGTGGCACTGTGTGCGAGTCTAGAAAATCTAGTAAAGCTTTCTAATGAAATTGTTTTTATGAGCAGTTGCGTAGTCTTTGACTGTCGTAAAATTCAAGAGTTCAAGAGAAAGTATCTATTTTTATTTTTATTTTTGTACAGTAGAATAGGATTGCTCTCCCAAGTCACCATACTCATGACATTTTACAATGCGTCAGAGGAAAATGATTCTGGGAACAAAGATGGGAAAGAATTAATTCTCAATAAATATGTGTTTTCTATTTCTTCATCAATTCGTCAGTTTTGATCCGCTAGAAATAAGCCTTTATGCTCTTAGAATTAACAGTTACAAAGGCACATTGTTTGAGAATTTTTTAGTATTTTTGGCATCTGAAACTGTAAGTCCTTCTTAAAATTTATTGAAGTTTCAGCAGTTTGTAGTATGTACCGTTCGACTCAGTGCAAAATTCCATTTTGGTTAATAGCTGGGACTTTGAAAGGAAGCTTTTTTTGTTTTAATGCATCGTGAAATAGTACTATTCATGTCATATTGTGATGTGAAGCTACAGACAATTCTCTAGCACTACAGAAACATATTCAAGTATGAGCAAAGCTTCCTGAATTTGAAATGAGGAAATCTTTCCAAAAAATAGATGAGTTTTATGTTCTGCAAGATAGACGACTCGGATTTTTAATACCTTCCTTTTGAAATTCGCTAATTTTCGTCGTGTTGCGTTTCTGATCTAAAACTGTACTATAATTTTCTCTAGAATAATCGTTGACATATACTTTGAGGTATGGCCGCAAGTTCGGTGATAGGTTTTCCGATGAAGGTATGAGCGATGTTACCAACTTGTGCTTATGAGACCCACACCTTACATCTAGAGGCTCACTCTAATCTTAATACAGATATACGGCTATCATAGTTACCCCAAAACCCTCATTTAATTCATACATTCATCACGAGAAGATCTTAAATTGTTTTTGTAATAAAAAAATATTGAATAAGCATCCAATATATTTATATTATACATTGAAAAGTAACCGATTATTATATAGATAAAGATTATTCTTTTTAAAAATTCACAAACAAGATTTTAGATTAAAGCATGTAATATAGTCATTGTCTGAAGTTAGTTGCAAATTGAGCCATGATTTCAGTGAAAGACAAGTAATGAGATGCATGTGATATATTCTTCAACTTTGTATACCACTCATTTGTGCTCTTCGTCTTTTGCCTCCTATAAAATAAACAAAGTGAGATAGTAATTAGAATGAATGATAGATATTTATGACTTACTTCAGACGGAGTATACGCTGCACTGGTGTATTCAGTGACTTCCGTGCTGATCGGATCCTGGTCTTCGTTAGGTTCCTATTAAATAAATAAAATTGTATTAGTGAAAAGTATTCAAATTATTAAACAATATAGTATTACTTACTGGCATGTTTGACGATGTCTGTTGATTCCTAGAGAAAAAAAATAAAAGTATGAAATTATGTTGCAATCGCAAATTGAAATGTATTAGTTCGAGAACAAAGAAGGAAGGTAACTCAAAAGTCTAATTTTTATATTGATCGAAGATTTCAATGTTGCATTTGCCTATGGCAACAACCACATTTTCAGCTCAGTTATTTAGGAAAGAAAGAGAGCAGAAAACCATTTAACTATGTGTGATCACAGATACATATAATCGATTCATTAGTGAATAGGAAGTTATATCCGTCTCGTCTAGACTCGCACACCGACAGCAGATCAAGTAGGAAAAAGATGATCATCTCAAATTATCGTTTACTAATCTCTGNGAAGTTATATCCATCTCGTCTAGACTCGCACACCGACAGCAGATCAAGTAGGAAAAAGATGATCATCTCAAATTATCGTTTACTAATCTCTGTTGGACGAACTTATTCTCTTACCTGTTCGAAATATGTGACGAATTATGGGAGATTGTGCAGTTGATATCTGTATGGTATGTCGAATGCCTTCATATACCTGTATATATATATATATACCTATAACCAATGGATTAACGAAAACTTGGAAATTTCATCAAAAATTATCATACAAGGTAAGTACTGATATTTGCTCGATTGGCTGCGAACGTCATAATGGCTGCCACAGACACAAGAGGGATAAATCCAAATGCTTTATTTAGGTATTCATTCATATACATTTTAGGCAAACAAGTAAAAAATCATCAAAATCGTGCTTTAGCGATACATGCGACGTTTTTTCGGTGAAATTTATTTTCAAAGGATAAGTTGGAATAAAAAATGTTTCTTCATCGCGACGATATCACCGAACAGAGTTACCAAGACAAATATCATTACTCTTCTCGATTGGATATCTTTCGTTGGAAGAAAAAGACAGAAAATGCAAAACTTCGATCTGGAACTACATTGTCTTGTTATGAGTGGCACTGTGTACGAGTCTAGAAAATCTAGTAAAGCTTCCTAATGAAATTGTTTTTATGAGCTGTTGCGTAGTCTTTGACTGTCGTAAAGTGCAAGAGTTCAAGGAGAAAGTATGTATTTTCATTTTGTTCTCGTAAGATGATTCGGAACTAATGAAATATCTCTCTTGATCTTATAAAGATTTATTGTTTAGATAGTACGAATATTTTACTTGTATTTCTTTTGACTGCGAATTGATTATTGTAAAAAACAACAACATTATTTGTTCTGATTGATGACAGCTGACCCACTTCACACAGCTTACTTATTTATCGTGATTTCGATATCAACGCATTGACTATCGAGTAATATATTTAAAAAGAGACTAGGCAGGAAGCGTAAGTACGTTTTCTTCGATCTTATTAGCAATATAAATGGCAAGTGCAGAAGCATACCTAGATCGGTCCCTCTGACACTCATACAGCCCTTTCTCAAATTTCCGAGAAAATAAAATATGCATTATACATGAGAGAAAGTTTGACATAGACATTTTCCTGATAAATCGATGTCTTACATTTTTGCATATGTCTACATCGAATGATTACAATAAGTATGAGTGAAAAATACATATTTTAACCGAATGTTGTGGTTTTTTAATATGTTATTGCATGTAAATAGTAATAATAAATAATGCTTAATTACACATTCTAGTCAATCTATTTGTCATACAATAGCATGTATTTTTGTTTTTACAGAGTAATTTGACTTCAACTCAATTCGAAATGTATCTGCATCAAAATCAAGAATCAATCCGCGTTTCAATATTAGCTTCAAGTTTAATTACATTCCGTAGCAATCTATCAAAAAGTAAGTAAAGATTGGTCTAACCAAGAAACATAAATTTTATTTTCGTTTATTCAATAGGAGCGACGGAATGACAAGTTCAATTGTTTCAAAGATTATATCCGAGAGAAAGTTTTTCTAAAGACTGTTGTCAACAGAAGTTAGAGACAAAGCAATATCAGTAATGAGAGCTGGTATAAACTGCATTAGGAGTAGCAGATCCTATGCTACTTTTCAAAAAACATATATTGATATTACTACCAGCTGTTGGCAAACCCCAAGTAAAACCTTTGTAACCCGAGTACGATTGACACCATGAGCAGCAAGCGCTAAAACTGGGCTGCGAAGTTGAAGTGATTTCACCACCAAGTAAATTAAAACCATGCAGACAAGCCATGTTGCTACATGCGTAGATACATGGTGTTGTAGCTGAAAGAGAAAATATTGTGCATACTTGAAAGATTAGGATTTGAAGATAATATCAAGTGTAGAAACGTATTAAGGCAACATCAAAATAGGCGTACGTTTTCAAAAAAAAAGAAAAGAATGAAAGAGACAGACTTTCTCAGTCGATGGTTGGTAAAAAGGGTGATATGAAAGTTTTCAACCATATTTTATGTTAATGAAAAGTGGCACAATCCTCATGAGTTGCATACTAATTAGATGCTACTAATTATGATATCTTTGTGGCATAGTTTTGTTTCGATGTCAAAAAACAAAGACGCATATTGCAGTATACTCTGCTTATTAATGAGTGTCTTAGATGGTGCAAACATAAAATAATATTATTTATGTTGGTACATCCGTTACGTACTCGTTGAAGTTGTGGTGGTAGTGGTTGTTGTTGTTGTTACTGTGCTGCTAGTCGTGTCTATCGGAGTATGCACAATTTTAATAGTAGATTCGAAATAAAAACTAGGACAAAGTCAAATCAGTTCTAGTCATTTTATAAGTGAAAACAAAACATTTCCAATAATCTTTGTCAGATGTTCATCGATGTTTTCAGTACAATCCTACTATATCTCAGCCACCATTGGTAGCATGAGTAATGATATTGGCACAGGCTTCGTTGACATAATGATTGTGTGACTTTTTCAAAGTTCTGAAACTTAGAAAAATTTGTAAATAGTGAGTGATCCTAAAATGATTGAACACAGGCCATTCTGCGTCTGATTGATTATTTGCATTGAAATATAATCCAGTCTCTGATTCTACAGAATAACTCATCGAATAAACTTGACATTTTTCCTAGCAGTACATCTTGACCTTTAGAAACAAAAAAAAATCTACGAGCTGGAAAGCTTACGAATCCTGCTCTCTAGAACTAAACATTTTTCTAGGAATCTTTCATTGAATATTTTGTTTTACCCTTCGAATAGAAAAATAGAGGAAACAACGGGTGCGTCCCTTTTCGTCCTCACTCTTCCGGACATCAGGTTATTTGACCGGATGTTCAAAATCGGATATAAAAAATAAAATCGATTTTCCGGATGTTCGGAATGAAAACCGTCCAGATGTTCGGAACGAAAAAATACAGGAAGTTCCGAACATAAAGTGACAGATGTTCGGAATAAAAAATGACCGACGTTCGGAACGAAAAAATACAGAATGTTGGAAATGAATTTTGGTGTATGTTTTATAGTGGGAATGAGTAGTAAAACTATAAACTTCTCTGTTTTGTAGAGGGTAGGTGCTGGTAACAAAAAATTTACTAATAATTCTCATAAATGTTCAGCCAGCAGTTCATTAAGTGAAAGAAAAAGTAGACGAAACAGATGATGCCAATATTAAACAAATTCCAAAAAAGAAAAAAACAAGACATGCTGCAAGAAAACATTAGACAAAATCTTTTTCTTACAAAAGTTATTTATTCTCTCACTTGTATAAACTTTTGTTGTCTTATGCTTTTTTTGTGAAAGACTGTACTAGGAAATAAAAGAAAATAAACTATGTTATAAAAAAATTATTTTCTCTTCCGAACATCCTGTATTTTTTCGTTTCGAGCATCTGTCATTTTATGTTCCGAACATCCTGTACTTTTTCGTTCCGAACATCTAGACGACTTTCATTCCGAACACCCGGTCTTTTTCATTCCGACCTTCCGGTGTTTTCATTCCGAACATCCGGAAACTGAAGTTCGGAATGGATTTCTCCCACCGATGTCCGTAAAAAAAATGAGGACGAAAAGGGACCACCCCGAAACAACATGTATTCTCGAATGGAAGAGAATACATTCAGAAATTAGTGACTGATGAATTTGGCAAAAATAAATTTCTGCTTCCGTGTGGGAAAAGCGAAACAAGAGAGTGTTGATTTTATATTAAAATTCATCCTTCGAAGAACTTGTTGATTTTGTTCTCAATCAATCGTCTTTTATTAGTTTTATTTAAAATGGCATGGCATATTGTGATTATAAGAAATCCGTAATCAAATCCAGGTTAATCCGATATTTATTGGCTCTACTGATCTGTCATAAACCATAACGGAGAGAACATGAATTGAACAAGGCAACTACGGCATACTACTACTATATAGATATGTGGATGGAAAAAAACATTTATTTCAAAGATTGACAAGAAAAAGGACATGATGACCTTAAACTTACTGTTTTCATTAGCGTAGGTTAACCTACCATAGGGTGTGCTATCATGACAATAGAATTATAATTCAATCCAACATATCTCTATCTAAGAAACAGATCTAATGATCTTAAATTATTGTTTTTTATGTATGATTTCCGATTGAAAAATAAAGAGCATATATTTTTTATTCTTCATAATAAAAATTGAAAACACTTGAATTTTGTTGTTGAAGGCAGTTCTATGTACACTCACTATATCGAATTTATTCAAATTTCTATTGTTGTTTCAGGTCCTTCGACCGGTTGTGCACAACTCTTAGCGGCTAGAGGCCATACGAATATTTTCAATTTAGCGCTCAGATTGAAACAGCGAGAGAGAAACTATAATTTTTATTGATTGACGTTGTTGAAAAAACCTCAATTAATGAGAAGCCGTGCACGTATTGGCATACATCAAGGACAATACTATGAATGCCATTCTAGAAAAAATATTGAAATAATTTCTAATCAAGAATAGGAGTTGGTTTATCACATTTACATATCTCTTTCTTTCGATAATATCGCAGACGGTACCACGAAAGTGTACCGCCAAGACCCTATGCCACTTTCTATTAGCTAATTATTGTTTTATTTCACACATACATGACTAATACAAATAATTTAATCACACACTCGCACCTGAAATATACACAGTTGGATCTTGCTCAGCATGCATATACAAGATGAGAATGATTGTATTTAGGATTAAACCTGACTTTATTAAAAATAAAAATAGAATTTTTCTAATAATTTGTTCGATCTGCAATGACGCACAACTATTCGATGCTCATCCATAGAGATAATTTTTCGGTGTTCATACTACATGTAAAATTATTGTTTGCCATCAATCGTGAAGATTTGTCAACCAACCATTTACGTGACAAAGATTTGAACGATAACGGGTGACAATACGTAAATATGGCAATCGATAAATATTTCAATCTATCAATCAACAATATGACTGTGTCTTGATCGCTGATTCCAATGCGTAAACGTTCCAATCGTGGAAATACAGTGCATATTGCTTTAGCGTGAGATCCCATTACCATTGCATCTATTCTCAATGAACGAATCGATTCAAATTTTGTTTCATAATTCAAAAATAGACTCATTAACGACGCCTTAACCGATGTAAGCGACTGTAAATGAGGCAAGTTGACAAATGGCAAAATTGTCTCCAAACAAAGGCCATCGTCTTTTTCGAGGATGAGCGATCTTGCATTGACAAAACGATGTGTCAACCGGCAGACATTGGGCAGTGTGAGAACATCAACATATTCATCAAGATGTAGACTCGATGATGTGGACGATGGTGTACAATAGTCTGGTGAATAAATGACGTTCTTTGATGCAAAACGTGGTATAGTAAAAAGGCAAGATGATGATTCTTGATTATCATAGGCAACAAACCATTGTTTTTGTTCGATCCAAAACGATGATCGAAATGTATCGAGAATTTTCTCATTAGATCGATGTGTGAGACAAAAACGAAAATCGAACGTTTGCAGATGTGATATTAGATATTTCCATTGATTACCATCGACAATATCCTCGGGAACTTCGACATCGCCATTTGAATATTGAGACCACTTTCTCAACTGTTCAGCGCCGACTACATCGATAGGATCGTCGATTCGAAGTTCAAAATGCATTAAACAAGGCAATTTCGACAGAAATTGATTCATTCTGCTCATTGGTACTCGGCCAACTGATCGTTAAAATGAAAAGGTAACAGATACATCTTTGTAAAATTTAAACTTACAGGAAATCCAAAGTGTCAGCCGTCTTAGATGATTCATCACTGGTATTTGGTTGGACCAATCACTGAAAGCATTAAGTGACAATGTCATATTCAATGAGCGTAAGTTGGTAGTCTGACGAAACAAATATTCCAAATTAAAGCAGCCAACATGTGTGACTGTCAAATATCTTAAATTATTCAATGGTGTCGTTAATGGATATTGATTTGTAATTAATTGTCTCAATCGATGCAGCATTGTTTCTACACTGGATCCACACAGACACCAATAGGCCTGTGATACTTGTGGTAAACTCAACGATTGAAAATAATTAAATGTACACAAGAGATTTAATTGCCTGAAAATACTCTGATCTGACGACATAATTGCAAATGAACGAAGATTAACGAATTGAAGAAGATTAAATTTTGAGAAGAACAAATCCGACTGATCTGGTGTCTCATCGTTTTCCGCAATTGTAATAGAGATGACTTGTTCGGGGCGAATACGTCGACACGTAAGATCAAATTGATGTTTCAATATTGAAGACAAACTGACCGAATAACGATCATAACTAAACAAGACACTATCGACATAATCGCTTAACTGAGCAAAACCATAGAAAATTTCATGTGCCCATAGATAATGAAAAATGCCATGGATTATTTCAACTGGAAAAAAATCGAATAGACAGCTATTCGACATGATTTAAGCGACAATAAGTTATCAAACACTTTGCTTGAATGTGGATAATAGTTCGATGTTTAATGAAGCATACTAGCCGTATTTTTTTAATTCTTTTTATGACCTGCTTGTTTCTGTGTTGATGAAAGAAATGAGAAGGTATGAAACGCACGTGAATGGTTTGCGTGTTCTTATCGAAATAGGTAAATATATTTTCTTGTAGTGTCACATTACGTCAGATGCTGAAGGATTTTTAGGTGTTTTTCGTCGCATTGGAAAATGTTTTATTATGTTTCATCAACATTTTATGCTTGGACTTTGACGTTATTTACCACACCCACCTTGTCCCTGTTCTGATTACTGCTTCCTATGCTAAAAACGTTCTATTACTCTCGTCGATTAACTAGCGTAAGAGAGTTATTGCGATGTAATTTAGATGATCCAATACCACAATCCATTATTTTCGTCCATTTCTACTCCACTCTATTGCAATGCTGAAACTGAAAATTGAGCATAAAGCATTTAACTATTACAATAGAATTTTATGAGGCAACTGTACACCTGCTTATTGTAGTGGCCGTTGTAGAAGTCGTCGTGGTAGTTGTTGTAGCGGTCATTACAGTGGTTGTAGAGCCTAGTATACTCACAAGTTCGTTGCTTTACAAAGTATGATGAACATCAAAGCGAGAAGAATATTTCATGATTTTCTAATTTTGAATCGTGACAAATAAAAATTCAATTTCATAAAAACATTTCACTGACGTACTTCGATGAAAAAGTTTTAGGTAGAGTTCCAGCTTAGTGAACGAGTGAGGATGAGTTCCAGTGGAACACAAGCCGGGAATATTAGGAATGTCGAAGAAGGTCCCGAGAGAACTGATGCGACTACTGAATTCAACAAGTTCTGAATAGAGTCCACCAAAACTGGGAAGAAATGGCGCTAGAACACGATTATCAGAGTCCTGCTTTCGAGTTTCTATCATTTTGCAAGATTTTTCGGTCGAAAACAGCGGTTTTCCTGCGAATTTGAGCACTAAAATCGTCGATGGGCCTAATAATGATATGCACACAATATTCGAGTATTTGATTGAAGTTATTTCTACAGAATGAACGGAGAATAATAAAACTTTCTCACACAAAGACAACTAATATTGTGCCACAAATATAAAGCATGCTTTTGATTTGACGACTCACACGCGATAAAAATTTCTTCTACCAATGCGAATTTTCTGAAAAATTCAATGACATTCAAAACGTTTTAGATGATTCATGTGTTCGTGAATTTTCTTAATGCGCATCTCCTCTATGTAAAAACAATCTTATAACAGTCATACCTATGGTCATTGTTTGCTTAGTAAATAGATCAACGATTCCATAAGAAATAAATGCCAATGCTCTGAAGGCACATACCATGAGCATTGGTATCGTAAAATTAAACGTTGAACGTGACTCAATATCACCCTTCATGGCGTATTTGTTAGAATTCCTAAAAAAAATGGTAGTATGTACCATTGTAAAATGACGCCTCAGAAATCTTTAGGCATGTTTAATCAATTGATCGCTACAGTACATATTGATACTCTTGATTTTACTAACTTTTTGAACTCCTGCGGCGAGAAGTCTCTTGGGTTTGACATTGATGATATTATTACTAATCGGCTACGATCTGTTGAAGGTTCTAGTACTTGAGATGGGCTCGCACGTGACGAAAAATAATGATCTTTCTGTTTTTTTTTCCTATGCTACGATTTGATCCGTGAAAAAATTCTATTTAATATTTTCATAATATACCGAAGACTATGAATACCTGAGATTGCTTTGTAGCTAGTGTGTTACTCGGGGGACATGCATCATATTGATACACTAAAATATATCGTAAGAAAACGTTTCAATGTTTCACTACAGTCATACGAAGCAGTCTCAATACTGTCAATGTATTCTCTCTCGTCTGCGCTGTGTGTCTCGATAAAAAGACTACCGAGGTTTCATTCAGTGCATAAAAATAGGGCTCGAGTAATATTATTCATGTCTTACAGACGAATGGCTAATTTTTAATTACTTTTGCAATGCAATGCGTCTTATAAGAATATGATTATAAATTGTTTCAATCGTTGAAAGAAATGGAACTATTTTTATTGGTCGCTGACAGGAAAGATGTCAAACACGGCATTATTTTTTGCACTCGATTCATAAAGTAGACCTTTTCGATCAGTCGCTTCTTATTTATTTTTTGAAAGCTTCTTTTTTACGAATTATCAAAATAAAATAGCACAAAAAAACACTAAATAAAATCCCTTTTCTTGTGCTAACGTAGGATTCAATTGCAAGAAGTTGATTCATACGGTGTCAATGCACAATGAAAACACATGTGTGGTGATGTAGTTTCCCAACATGTTAACTTGATCAAGGGTGTTCTCAATTTATGGAGTCTTCTTCATGGATCACTACAGTGAAATCACGATGCCAGAACTTGAGAATCTCATTGAAGAAACCTAACTTGGTTATGAACATTACAAAGGCTATACTCTAGCATGAAAAATGTATCAATTGATAGATGATCATGAGATTGAAACTATAGACATTTCATGAATACAATAACCTGTGAAGACATTGAAAAAGTTTGTGACAGACTCTCACTGCTAAAGATATGGTGCAAGTTTACAGAATATTCGGTCGGTTAGTTATGGTTCTCCTAAAAATACACATAAGAACAGTATATTTGAAGTTCATCTTGCAAAACTCCTTTGTGACAGATTTCTCATAAGACATTAATTGATTGCGAACGTTTTGCGCTTTTTGATGACCCTCACTTCAGCAATGCAATCAGCGAATGTGTTACTTTATGATAATGATGTTGAGAATACGCTAGCGTCATAGCGTATTCCTTCATGAAAGGAGCAGTGACAATTTGAATTATCTATTATAAAGATACTAGGACACATAGGCAGAACTGAAACTCGTTTTAAATTATAAATTCACATCCCCACAGAGCTCGTTTTGATTACGACAGAATAACAGAAAATTTTGATTCGCTCCTGAATTATAATCAATTCAACAGCAGATATTGTATGAGTTCAGGAGAAAGCAAGAAAAAAAATTGAATGAAGGCATAAATTAAGATTTATACAAGGCTGTTCGGTAGGAACAAGAAAAGGCTCGAAGAAAAAAAAATTTTTTTAACATAGAGCACCACTCTTCTTAGCATCGATGTACTGCTAAATATGCAGACTGTTAAGAAAGAGTGTAGTGCATATATAAAAAGATCTTTTATCGATCATACAAGAGATAATTTCTATCTAGCTTTGATGTGGATTTCAACACTGAACTCTTCCGAGAATTGTATTGATATAATTTTAAAATGCATGTATCTATTTCGTTAGCCTTTTGTTTTGCTGAAGAAACCAAGAAAATTATGCAATGCTTAGGCATGTTTCATTCGAGCATCATCGAAGAAAAGAAAAAGAATTGCACCATCACCACCGTCACAAAATATAAATAGGTTTTTGTTTTTTCAGTAAAATTGTGCAAGCCGTCAGTTCATGCCTTATTCCGTTTGAGACTGAAGCATACTTGGAAAATGGAAGTGACTGTCTTTGGTGGCAATCCTTCCGAGGCATGAAGTTAACTCGATACTTGCTTTTTCTGTTATTCCTATTTTTGCGTATTTGTGTTTGCCCATTCATCGTTTATCAAATGCTAGATCTTGTTTATGTTCTGGCGCACATTTTTTAGTGCTATCCGTTAGATTAACAAAGCACCTGTATAGTACTTGTGTATCTATTTGCAACATAGTAGATATGGATGGAAGGGAAAAGCCCTGTTTGCGATGTACTGCTTTAATTATTAACAACGGATCATTTTAGTGTAAGAAAATGCGTCATTCGAAGAGTACTAATACTCTTAATGACGATAAATTAATTGTTTGGTTTACTACTGTCATTAGTAATATCGATATTTGAAAATGAATATGATCCAAAAGTTACTGATTTTTACATAATGAAAATCTCAATTAAAAACATTGATATTATATATTATATCTTATTTCAATAAAACACTTAACTAATAACGTCGATTTATGTTGTACCTAAACATAACAAACATTCGTTTTTTTTACTTCGAGCAATCCCGATGCCAAATGAATGTCCGACACTTTTTTTAATAATATTAATGCGTTATGTTGAATTTCTCGATAATTTTATTTCTTATGCATTATTAAGTAGATACTTTATCATGCTTCAATAAAATATTGAATAATATTTATTGTTTTTAAGGAAACTAACATAAACCAATTATTTGCATATTTCATTGAACATTAATCTTCATCTGCAAGAAATCGCTACATTCTTAAAGACTTATTTTTTCCCTCTTTCGTATGATTAATGTTTTCGTTTAAACCTTCATTGTGAATAGTTTTTCATAGAAGCTGCTCTTCTATAGAAAAATATCCATAAAGTTCAAGAACAGAACAAATTCGACCATTATCAAGGTGCTAATGAAGGTTTCCACGAAAACGACTACCTCAATCAGACATCAGCCTAGGTGGCTTTGATATTTGCCCGTAAATATTGAAGAGAAACAATAGTTTCGCAAATAATTTTTATTTGTCTAAAAGCGCTTTCACATCTATATGTTCGAATTAGTCTTCAAACGGGTAACAATTAGTTCCAAACAATTGATTTGTGTGCATTCCTTCTCAATATTCATCTTTAATTCTTGACAGGTGTTACACATAGTGAAATCACCCAACTGGGACTTATTCGTAGCTTGGCTCGGTTTTTATCTACAACAAAAGCTATTAGGAATTTTAGTTATAGTGAAAAATATACAGTTGATCAATCGTATGAATTAACATATCCAACGTGAAGCAAAGAAAAAATTCTTATATAAATATATCCATTAAAAAATATACTCGATAAAATTTTTGCTGACAATGCTCTTGTTGATTTCGATCGATCGACAAATCAGTATGTTTTCTATTTATGAAATAGAAATTTAGTTATAGATAAAATATTGAACAAGACAACGAATTTAAAACAAGCACGTCAATTACTTGGACAAATTTTACATGCAATACAGGACTTTTATTCCCATTCGAATTGGATTGAGTTAGGTAATAAAAAAAATGTCAACGAACTTTTAGGAACATTATACAAAACGGTCTATTAACAAGTGGCTATTTACATGATCAACGTACAGACATAGGTGCGATTGAATACAGTCTGTTTTACTTTTTTTTGTTGTTGATTTAACGCCTCCGAAGAAGCAGCAAAAATTGCAACACTCAACACGAGGTCAAGTGTGCGGGATATTGGGTATTAGTTTTCAACTAGCAATAACCTCTCCTCGCGAAACGCTCATTGGATAAGGTACTGCCGCTGCGCAAAGATAACGTTACCTCCAACGAGTCGACTCTTATAAAGCTCGATACGTGCGAAACAAAATCGGTGAATGTGTAGACAACCATCGATGAGTCATAGGTTGCGAAAGAACGAACAAAAAACAGACGACATTTTTCTTTTCTTTTCTATTTTCTCTTCTATCCTCCTTGCCACATGCATTGCACTGGGAATTTTGTCCAATATAATAATTTATCTGAGTCGAAGGTTTTTTCAATCGAGAACTATTTAAAAAAACATAAATATAACATTTTTATGGTTAATCAGTAGTTATATACAGCGTTGTTAAACGTCGCCACTTATTTCTTATTCGCGTTCATACTCGTAAGTTAAAATATCATCTACTCACGTGTGATGCAGATAGATAAACTCAATATTTCACTTTGATTCATTTTTAACATAAGAAAAACAAATTAAGTGGGCATTTAATTTTGTGGTTTCACCTATTTTTATTGATCTTAATAAAAGAATGTTACTTGAAAGCTTGAAGTTTGCATGAAATACTACAAATGAAAACTACTGTTTGGCAGGATTTTTTTTCTCAGAATAAAAATCAAATAAAAAAAAACATATCACAACAAAAAGATCGAGATCTGTTTAAAAAAATGGTAAACTAAAATTTTGATATTAACAAGGAGCGTATAATTGTGGTGTTGTTTCGATTGTAATATTTGAAAATGCTTAAAAATATCAATGAATATCTAATAGGACAGAAAAATGATAGCGAAAGGCGAACTGAATATTTAATCGAGTTTGTGTCTACGATGCACTGCTGTCGAACGAAGAAAACAGCTTCGCTTAATAATTCAGTGAATATTGAGTCATTGTGCTGCTCGTGTATTTCAATTTTTATTTAAACGATTTCATCAATGGTCAATGTTGATATTGGTATTCATAAGTAGAACTTTCTTTAAATCATGATCGGATGATTTAAGAGACCTGCTATTCGGATATGTTTATTACAGTTGATCATGATAAAAACTTTTTGAGTTTCCTCTGGGAGAATATCGTCGTGTACGAGAGAAAAATTCATAGTCTTGAGTAAGAATGAAAATTCTAATACGCTCGTTTCCATATTAAATTTTTGTTTGCTTCTCTCTATAGAGTAAATGATTTAATTAATATTTTATTAATTAGATTGGCATCGAGGCTTCTAATGCTGTTCTCTTGGGACATCCCTGGGGATGGAAAATAAAATCTACCATTATAATCTTGTCAAAAAAAAATTCAATATTCGTTTCAAACAGAAAAAAGAAATATTCAATTAAATTCTTAATTTTTAGACATATTCTATTATCTGAAATGGGATCATCAAACAGAAATATTACAGTAACTATGGCACCAAGTACAGATGCAAATGTCGTTGTATCAGCTCGAACTTATCAAGTACAGTTTTATTTTTTTTTCTTCTTAACTTCAATATTTCTATTCAGACGGAATTGATGGAACAAGCCAAATCAGAAAATTTAGTTATATGTCTTCCGACTGGAAGCGGAAAAACTTATATTGCCGTAATACTAATAAAAGAAATGTCTCATGCGATTCGTGAAAGCCTAAAAAATGGTGGAAAACGAACAGTTTTTCTTGTTAAAACAGGTAGCAAATTTTTTCGAATTGTTTCCATTATTTCTTTGTTTGTCTTCAAAGTTCAACTCGTAACTCAGCAAAGTGAATATATTCTTACTCATACAGACCTGACTGTTGGAAAATATTACGGTGAACTCGCAGTGGATTTATGGAATAAAGAAAAATGGGAATATGAACTTGAAAATCATCAAGTATTAGTATTTACTGCACAAGTATTTCTTGATTTAATTGATCATGCTAATTTTTGTAAGAGAACACGAAAACAAAAGGCTATCTTACTGATAAAAATCAATATTGAATTTATTTTAGCATTGAAACAAGTTAATCTAATTATTTTTGACGAATGTCATCATGCATCAGGTGATGATCGATATGCTGCACTGATGAATAAACACTATGATAATTGCCCTGACCCACCACGTGTACTTGGTTTGACAGCATCAATTAGCAGTAGAAAAATTAAACCCGACAAATTATTGGATAATGCAAAAGAATTGGAAAAAACTTTTCGGTAATTTGTTTTCTTCAAAATTCACTGTAGGGACTTTTGAATCAATGACTGGCAGTATAGAATATCTCTAAGATAGCTTTGAGCATTGTTGATTTTCATAAACTTTTCCTATTGGTCTATTCCTACTTGAGGGTTTGCTGTATAAATGATTTTAAAGCCGGTAAATTTATTTAGAGCTCGAATCGAAATTGGTTCGAGTCGAAATGAAATTATTAAACATGGTACATCAGTTCAAGTTGAAACAATTCTCTGTTCAAGTTATCGAGATGAAATAATGAAAAATAATGAAAGTTTAACGATTCCATTTGAAGTAAGTTAACGTTGATTTCATCCCTTGTTTTGAAAGCATGCAATCAATGAAATGAATTTTCTTCAGTCTTCTTCTATTAATTCTGATGAAAAACATTGTTGTTTTATTCTAATCTCTTAGATTCTGAATTTCATGTGCAGTAGCATTGAAGGTTATCTATCAACAAATAATACTACGTATAGAAAACTCGAAAGAGATCTCACTGACACAATGTTGACAACAGATTATCGTGGTAATAATATTGCAGCTTACAATAAGCAGTCTGCTGATTATACAGCATTTAGTCAATCTCAATCCATAACAATACCACAATTGAAAAGTTACCTTAAAAATGTAATAGAAGTTGGTCACGAACTTGGCTTGTATGGTTTGTTATTATTTGCCAAAATCTTACGAAATAGATTAAAGTCTAGTCTTGTGCGTTTATCAATGGCTGATTCATCAGCCCGTGAAATTTTCGATGATATGTTTCAACGTCTTGAATGTCTTGTAGAGGATATATTGAGAAATCTATGGCGACTAAATCGACATAATCTTGAAATATTATTTAGTCCGAAAGTTCGAAAATTATTCAATCGAATTCTTAAACAACAAAATGAAAACAATAAACGTAGTCGATGCATTGTATTTGTTGAACGTGTATATACGGCGACCATGTTAAGTCAAATTCTATCCAATCTTGCATCATCTCAGGAACCAACATGGGATACTCCGTTGAAAATAAAACATGTTACTGGTATAAAAGCTCTTTTTTATGATAAACCCATGACAGCAAAATATCAAGTAAGAGCTTTTGGTGATATTCTGTTGTTGTTGTTGTTGTTGTGATCGATTTATTTGATTTTAGCGTCAAACTATTGAAGAATTTCGATCGCAAAATCTTAATGTTTTAATTGCAACAGCAGTCATCGAAGAAGGTGAAGACATTAGATTTCGGAGTTTAGATTGACTGGATTTAATTCTTCATTTTAGGTCTCGATATTCCAGATTGTGATTTAGTAATACGTTTTAATAAGCCAAATAATTTTTCGTCTTACATGCAGTCGAAAGGCCGGGCAAGAGCAAAACAAAATGCATCCTATGTTCTTTTTATGGACGAATCCAATGCCGACGAATATGCCCGTGATAAAAATGAATATAGTGATTACGAAGAAATAGAAAAGGTTTGTCGACAATAATCATACATTAGTTTTGACCGCGTTGACAATCGTGTAGCTAAATTCTAGCAAACTATGACGATATCGAATGAGCTTAGAATGTAATTTCGGGCGTATTGGTTAGTAACATAGATGAACTAGCAGCAACTACGACGATGTATTTGAATTGCATTCCTCATAAAATAGCTGTCGCAAGGATCAAAACATTCGCTCTCTGTCAGGCATCTCGATGTCATACTTTATTATTTCTTAAATAATTAAAATCCACCGATGGGATCTTTCAGCAAACGTACGCTAACGTTATGAAAAATGCTCTTGTTGTCTCACTAGTTTACTTTTTCATGGCTCATTTCATAGATGATTCAACAAGGTTTTTCACTGGACGAGAGCGATGATGATCTTGCGGATGATCTATCACGTATTCCACCGTATTGTCCGTCGAACGGTGTGATTATTGATGCGACACGTGCTGCGCAATTAATCATGCAGTAAGTGATCGAATTTCGCATACGAATACATTAACATTTTCCCTTTAGATATTGTGGAGTTCTCGGTAACGGTCAAGTTTATCCTCCTCGATTTCTCTTTCATGGTTGCTGTAGTCCATATACATGTATTTTATCGATGCCAGCAAATTGTCCTATTCGTGATGATATTAAGGTATGTGTGAAATATGTAAAAGAAAAAGACAATCTATTAAATGTTTTTTTATTTTTATTCAGTGCGAAAGTAGCAAGAAAAAATTAGCAAAATATAAATGTTGTTTAGAAATGGTTAAAAAACTTCACGAACACGGTGAATTTGATGATCATTGTTTACCCAATCGAAATCGTACATTACTGAAAATTAAAATACCCATTGAAAATCGAATATTTGATTTAGCCGATGAATTATTCGAGACAAAATCTGAAAGTTCATTTGAAACATTTTCTAAACAAGTGATTATAAATTTTTCGATTTATCATAAACGAAGATTTTTCTTTATTTTTCATTAAGATTGCAAAATTTCCTTTGCAAAAGGATCCTGTATCCACCTGTTGGCATCTTTATCAAATCGATAATCAACTTGGTTTTGTTGTACCCTCTGAATTAAAGAAAGTAAGTTTTTGCTTCGTTTGCTCCAATTGATTTTTTATCAAATAGAATATTTAGTTGCCTAGATTTAGTCTTTATGAAAATAATAAGACAACAACAATAGAAATTGTGCATCTAAAATCGATCGGTTATCGGCAATATCAAAGTGAATTAGAAGATTTCTGTAAATATCTATTCGAATATGTATTTGATGATATGAATACAAATACGAATCTTAAATTTGATATTGATAATTCAACATTTAAATTACTACCTTGCTTATTAACAGGTACGTTTACTGAAGAAATTCATTTTGATTATTTTAGTTTGTTTAGAATCAGGCGATATTGATTGTAATCGAATGGCAATAATTTGCAATCGAAGAAATAAACAAGTTCAAAGTCATGCTGAATTAGTCGATGACGAACTTTATTATCCCAGTCATTTACAAGATAAGCGATTCTGCATGAATGTATCCGATCCGTCGCTATTAAAACGAGCATCGGACTCATGGGATCAAAAGAAGTCGTCGGAAAATATTAAAACTTATGCGGATTATTTTGAAAATAAATATCCAAATATTCTCGTTCGACGAGATGAATTTCTCGCAACAATGAAAGGAGTTAAAAAAGCAAGAATTAATTATCTAAATGAGATATCAACAAATAATAGAAAGGAAAACAAAAATGATTCCGAAAGTAGCGAACCGATCTATTATCCAATTGAAGTTCTTCGTTATGCTCCATTGAATCAAGTAGATTTCGAATTAATCTATAAACTGCCAAGTATACTTGTCCGTATTTCACAATTGTATCGAATTGAAAGATTAAGAAAATTATTTGCCGACAAAATTCAATATTATTCGGTAAGATTAAATTAGCCTACTAGAAAGTACATGTCGTTTCGTAATATTTTACTGTCCGTTAGAACTATCGGGTTAACATTCTACGGAAAAAAAAACATTATTTTCAATTATTTTGAGAAATAGGATAAAATTCAATTTGATGATGAATTGAAAGCATCTTCTTTTCTAGAAAGTCAGATACAGGGATACAAAGGTGAACCACTTCATTCATTTCTACTATTCTACAGTGTTCATAGAAGCCTATATTACTTATACCAGCACAAAGTGGTTACCGATAAGACCACTGTTGCATTCCCAGTCAGATGTACTTTTAATGTTTTGTGAGAACAACTCTCTTAATGGAAAATGTTTACACCAAGGTCGTTCTACTTGCTAGAGATATGTGTCATTGTGGTACAAATCAGATATTGCTATCTTCTCTAATTATTTCTTCTAGTTATGCGATGCCGATCAAATGCCACTAGTAACGTTCAATGATTATCTTCGTACGAATACCAATCTATCGGTAGAATTCTTATAAAAAGAATCATTATTTTCTATAAAATCAATTCATTCTCTTATAGCTGCTGCCACTTGTTCCTTTAAGCTATTCTAGCTCATCATCATATCAATCATTGTTACAGCCATCACCTGATATTCTTTTTCAAGCCATTACACGTCGTTCAGCTAGTGAAAATACTGATATGGAAAATCTTGAAATTCTCGGTGATTGTTTTCTAAAATTAACAGTATCTATGTGTTTATATCATCGCTATCCAGAGGCGAGCGCCGGGGCGTTGACAGTCGAAAAAGCAAAACAAATCTCGAATAAAAATCTTTATCGAATAGCTGTAAAAAAGCAGTTGAAATCTTATTTAAATGTCATGAAAATTAATTTTCGTGGCAAAGATGCAAATTGGATTCCTCCTGGATATGTAATTAATGAAACGCCACAATTGACAACCGATGGTGAATCAGTAGATTTAAAAGGTTATTCAACTCAATATGTAAAACGAAAAGCATTTGCTGATATGATCGAAGCATTCATTGGCGTATTTTTAATTTCCACAGATTATACCATAACAATGCAATTTATGAAATGGTTAAGTATTGATGTTATTCCATTGGATAAAAACAGTAAGACGTTTTTTTTATTTCGCTTATTATTTCTTTTTGTGTAATTAGATCATCTAATGGAAGTTCCATCAATTCTATGCTCGTACAGTGCGAACGATGAAATTCGCCCTATTGTTGATAAATTTTATAAAGAACAAGCATTTGATGACAACGAAAAAATTATAAATTATAATTTCAGAAACAAAGCTTATCTTGTTGCAGCATTTACTCATCCATCGAGTTTCGCCAATCGGCTTACGAATTGCTATGAAAGGTGTTTTATTTCAAAGACAATTTGAGATTTATCTTACGTTTCTTTTCTGTTTTGTATTATAGATTAGAATTTTTAGGCGATGCTGTTCTAGATTTTCTTGTTACACGACACATTTTTATTACTGATACGAAAATTACACCAGGTAAAATTCATGCGCAGAAAAAAAACAGAATCGAAGAATAATGATTCATTCGGCTTTTCCAATCGTGAATAATCAGTGATTGTCTAATTCTTAGAATCGTAATATGAACGAGATGATCGTTCAATATTAGAAAGCTATTTTAGGATTTATTTGCTTTCAACAAACAACTTGTGTGCATAAGAAGAAAAAAAGCAACTCCTTCGCATTTTTTTTTATTTATAGGTCGAGTAACAGATATTCGACAAGATCTATCGAATAACGGTCGTCTAGCGTACATCTTAGTTGCCTATCGTCTACATACGAAAATTCTGCACAATTCACCAGACTTATTTGGCAAAATACAAATGTATGCTGGCGATAATGAAGTATTTCCGAAAGATTCATCCAGTGAAATTATACTAAATAAAGTAAAACAGGAATCATGATAGTAAATGGAAAGAAAATGTTTTTTTTCTTCCTTCCCTACATATTTAGGATATTGACCAATGGGCGGATTCTACGGCACCGAAAGCATTAGCCGATGTTTTTGAAGCGCTAGTTGGAGCAGTATTTCTTGATTCTGAAAAATGCTTAAAAACTGTTTGGAATGTTATCGAACCTTTACTTCGGCAATACATTGGTATATCGATTATACGGAAAAACTTAATTAGCTATTTTCCTTTTTGCGTTTCTATTATAGATCGATCCATAGCTAATCCTAATTCAAATCCAATTCGAGAATTTTTTGAGAAAGGTGGAAAAGTTATATCGTAAGCTTTCCTATGTTAATTATTTTGCGAAGCGATTTATTTTATTAACTTTTCTTTTTTAATAGAGAATCCACTGAGACTGATACTGAAAAAGACACAATAAAGTCTATTTGTATTGTTCAAACAGCAAACGGGCGTCGAATCGACGGCTCGGGAACAAGTAAAAAAATGGCAAAATACGATGCATGTCGAAAAGCAATTAAATTACTTATGGAATATAATGTGATAGATGATTAATTTTAAATCGAGATTTTTCTACCCTTGAGAAAAAACAGTTGTTTTTAATATGAATAGTACAATTAATTTTAATTTTTAATTTTTTGAATAAATCAAATGCGAATATTTTAATAAATAAAAATTGAAAATAAGTTGAACTCTACAAAGCTAGATGAAATCGAACGCGAATAATGTCTACGCTGTGCAATTATGAAAATAATAGTTCGAAGCTTAATAAAAATTCGGCAAGAACTGTAACTATCAACAAAATCCATGGGAAAGTATTCTGTTCCGATGCTTACAATTTTGGAGCAAGGCTACCTCATGATTGGCAAAGTTTTTCTTAATAGTTCAGCTAGAAAATATTTTTCAGCTTTTACTATAGTGTAACGTGCTTGTTCACTAGCGAAATTCCAGTATCGAAACTCAGTCAGGTAAGTTTGCTATTAATATTTTGTCAAAAGTTGCGGTTTGTCTTTACATGAAGAATGCCATTTCGAACAGAACTTATTAGTAAGAAATGCTCCTGCGTTAATAATTTCGAGCAGTTTTCATGTTTATGCTTCTTCTTTTCTCTTGGGATAAACTCTAATACATGTTAAAGAAGACAAAACAAAAAGGTAGACATCTTAACGCTTATTTTTGCTTCGGAGAATATTGTATTTCTATTCACGTGTTCATGTGGGAAAACATGGGATCTGATAGAAGTCAAACTACTAAGGACTAAAACATATGATAGAAATAATCTAATTAAATCTCTATTACTCATATATTTGCTTTTTCTGTTTGCTATACTAAATCGGGGCAGTTGGTTCGAGAAATCTACTAAATTTTCCTACGCTTTAAGCCAGGGGGAACAAACTGATTTCCAGGCATAGAAATCACTGGAAATCAAGCAATCAGTTTGTTCCCCCTTGGCTTCAAGTCTTACTCAAGTATTTTATTACCCTTTCGATCTTTGATTCTCTATAAATTAGTTTACTTAGTCTCACTAATAGAAAAGAAAACGTCACAATCCAGAAGAGAAATCTTATTCTATGTAATTTGAACAAAGTTAAACTTTTAGACTAGACACTGGACTAATTAGCGATGACCATAATGTTCTAATTTTAAGCTAATCTATCATATTACCTTCTCGAATATCGGATTACTCTCGGTTCGTCCCCAGCCCAGGTCGAACATTACGGTGACCTGATACGATCGTAAACGGCCGTATACGGCAACGTTTCCTACCGTTTTATAACGTTTCCGACCGTGAATCGCCGTAATTCGACGTTTTGGCATGCACCGTATTACGGCCGTATTTCGCCGTGGCGTAAACGGTTACTAACGGCCGTAATGTGGTCGGATATTGTAGTATTCGACCGTATACGATCGTATATGGCACGATGCCAACCGACCGTAATACGGTGTATACCAAACGGCCGTAAATTGTGGCCAAACGGCCGTGTACGACACAAGTTGATCGACCTGGGAGTTCGTTCCCCACAAAATTGGTTCCTAGTTGATTGACTCTCAATTCGTTCCCCACAAAATTCGTACTAATTGGTGACTAATTTGATAAACAGATGATTTTCAACAATCAGTTGTTTTATTCAAGAGTAATAAAAGAAACAAGAAAAAAAAGTCATTTAATAAGTTTTGTCTTCGACACGCGTCTGCGTTTAATCACGAGCTGCATATCAGTGATCAATCCACCCTTATGGTCATTAAGAAGGAGCTCAAGATTCTCGTTAATAGCATCGTTCACCTTCTTTCGTTTGCTCAATTGAACTCCCGACTCTGCGGGCTTGTGATGCTGATATTTGTGCTCTTCACGCAATAACTCGATAAAGTTGAAGATGTAAATAGGAGCATTTCTCAGAGCATAGAGAATATCAGTAGTGAAACTAATTCATTACTAAGAAAGCACATCATATATACGTATATGCAAAGTGCTCTACGCAACAATCAATTTTCTTATATTTGTTTCTAATTGTTTCTGGACAGGGATGGACTAATTGGGGGGACGAATTGAGATTCAATAAACTAGGAAAGAATTTTATGGGGGGACGAGTTGAGTTAATTGGTAATGGGGACCAACCGAGAGAATCCCCGAATATCAGTAGACTAATGACTTGAATAAAATCAAATGATCGGACTTATTTTCGAAATGTTGTAAATGCACAAACGGATCTAAATAATGATTTGAAAAGAGAATTTCATTGCCTATAGGAGTTTTTGTTTATCTTTTTTTCAAAATAAAACTGATTCCTATATTCTCGCAGATTTAGTTTGCCGAAAACAAATCGAAGTTAATTTTTCATGTTATTTGCTCTATTATTCAACATAATTGCTAGTTAAAGTAAATGAATAACAAACCGATCCTCCAGACGTTGCCAATTAGTTTTATCATCAAAGATTCTCGTAGGAAATAAAATTCTCTGCTCAAGTCATTGTTTGGATTCCTCTTCAAGCTTTTTTGTTTATTGACATATAATTATTCAAGGTTCACGTTCCTTAACATGGTTACTCATGTTTGAAACCTAGGTAAATATTATTCGTTCAAGCAAATAAAAACACACATGAACATTATTTCTTTTTAATGAACGTCTTATCCAATATTATTCAAGGCGTAATAATTGTCGTAATCGATGTCGAAATAATTCCTACAAATAAAAATTAAAAGAAGAAAAAAGATACAAATCAAATAATTATTAATGATAATGTCAATACTTCATTTGCCAATCGAATTTGTTCTAAAATATAGTCGTTCGTCGGATCACGGTCCATTATAGCAGATTCAGTTGCTTCACCATCATTTGAATTTGAATTCCATAATAAATATTCTTGCGGTAATTCGTTCGGCAAAGTTCGTTTACCCCAATTAGCTAAAATATTCGTTTAAACACACGTTTCTCAAAACAAAAAGAATCGTTACCGCCAAAACATGAATGCCCGAATCGGCCACATAGATTGCTAAGAGATATGGATTGAACAGGTTGAGGAAATTGACAGAAAAGTAAACTTGTTAAAAGAAGAAGGCCGATGGAAAAACGAATACGATCAAGGATAAAAGACGGTGAATTCATAGTTCTACAAAAGCAGAAATATTGTAAACTATCGTTCATTTTCTCTTATTCACCTCTTGACTTTTTTTTAATAACTATGTCTCTTTCGTGTTTCAACTCTCTCTGGTCTAAGTAATAGTCAGGCAGAAAAGTATGTAGCTACTCGTTTACAAAAAAAGAGAAAGAAAACACGAAAGAAAAGTCGCCACCCACATATATTCTACTTTTTTTCTATCTCGTGAGACAAAGTTTTTCTCCTTTAAGGTGTCGGATACAATGCCTATCAAACTATTGCAATCTATATGCAAAAAAAAATTAATGTGTACTTAATTTGCGTAATTTCATTTTCTTCTATTGTCAATGTTTGACAAATAAAGATAGGAAATTAAAACAAGAAGAAAAACGCAGCGGCTCCCTTGTCAAGAAAAATGATCTTAAAGTAAATCATGTTTGGTGGGACTGAATTTCGAAATGAGCATGACTTATGTTAGTTTCATGTTCTCAGTCACGAGATAGTGAATAATAAAACGAAAAACATGATAAGTCTTTTTCTAATAGTTCATTTGATCAATAGCAGCGAATTAGATTATAATTAAAATCGATGGCAATTCTTAGAGAAAAGTTATTCGAATCGTCTTTTTTTGTCTAGATTAAAATTATGTTTTATGATTAGAACATTGCTATAATTGACTTTTTCAAGTTATGTGAATCATCGCTACATGATTTTTATTCATATACTATTAATTAGATGTTAAAAAATGAATGAACTTGTTGATTTAATAGTGCCCATTAATTCTTTTTTTTCTGTTTATAAATACATTTCGAGTTTTATAAATTAGCAATTTGGCATGTTGACTTAAAATAAGCTTACACATGCCCGCTTTGAATTTTTTCATGAGTATACAATTATATGAAGTCAGAAAAAAATACAATCGTTATTTTCGATAGGAATAGAGTGATTTAATTAACTAGTGAACAATGAACCAATACGAGTTTCGTTTTCTTTTTGTTCTAATTTTCATATAATTGCAAAAATTTAATGATTCTAGTAATCAATAATTTATTTCGAGCCATGATATAGAGAACGATAGGCGAATGAGGTGTTTTATCTATGTTAAGCACCAAGGGAACAATGCTTTTCGCACTTCTGACTAACACTAGCCAAGTTTATAGATATGGTACTGTGTACTATATGTTTATGTTCGCTTAAATTTGTTTTTCATATTCTCTAAGTTTCTAATCATTGATGCGGAAGAAATCATCTGGATAAAACTTTCCCTCGCGCCAAATAGGCATAATCGTAACGGACCATTTACGAAGAATAACGACGATTTACATGATTCAGCATTACGATCATTTATCTCTGCGATGTGTACAACAAGAAAAAGCTCGTTAACTGTCTTTCGCATATGATGGTGTTGTTCTATATACAATCAGGAATATACACGATTGTTATAAAGCAGCGTAGGGTTATGCATACGGAATGCTCAAGGACATATACAGACTCTGTAAATATCGACCAGGTTAGGTATGCCATCGTCAACAGCGATTGTTTGACATTCATTCAAACCAGAATCTAATTATTTCGATTGTCATTGCAATAGTGCAGATCAACAAGTAAAATGTTCTCTTAGCATCGAGGCAAGTACTTATGTGTAAGTTTTTTCATAGACCAATAGTTCTTCACAGTGATAGACTAGAGCTAAAATTCATTTGAAATGAGCGTCTTTGAGAAGTTCTATAGTGTTCATCTACTATTTTACGACGAACTGAAAAAATTCTTTCGACGGAATTTTACTAAATGCAAAATTTTATATTGACCAGGCCTCGGTGTATAAACGTTGCTGTAGGATGCATTGACAGGAAACCATGCAAAGCTTGAGTGTATTCATATTGTGAAGAAACTTTAGTATTTCCTATTTAGTAAACAATAATGTTATGATGTATAATTGCTTTTCCAGATGTGTACATTTGTGAGACTTGAAAGAACATTTTTATTTCTGTCATAGTTGAAATTATTGAATAACAGAAAGAGAGAAAAATTTTAAAAAAATTCACCTCCACTAATAATCGTGCACTATCAAAAATAATTATTTACGTTGTAATAATACCGGTGCGAAATGCTCAGATGTACAGCTGTAATCATTACCTAGCGTCATCTATAATGGAGACAAGAAAATGTATTCATTCTCGTATGGAAATACTCAAGATAATAACTAAAAAGTTTATTAAAATAAATTCTTTTTAATTTATGCCTTGGTTTGATAAAAATTGACGAAAGGAACTGAAAAATAAAACCTAATTGGTAGGTCTAATTAGCTTATAAATGGCCCAAAAGAAATAAAGAACACGAGAAATAAACGAGCGTAACTTAGTTAGTCTTAACAGTCATCATTCTTCATCGTATTTTTGCTATTTCTGGCATATTCTGTGTTGCACAAACATATACTCCTGCATTTTAGACTTTGACAAAGTGCACACATTACGAGAATATCTTATTGATAGGGGTATTTTTTTGCATATTTATCTTCCTTTTTTGGATTCATAATACATCAACACAATAAATCACGTTATAATTTTTTTCTCATTCATAACCTTTTTTCTTGCCACTATACAAGTCATTGTTTTTTATTTCTTTTTTTCTCTCCGTGTATCAGCCTTTATTGTTAACTTGCTTGTCTTTTCAATAAATGATAATTGAGAAGAACCGAAACAATAACAATAAATAAGATTAATATACCCATAAAATTACAAATTATATCATACTCTATAGATAACTAGTTTATCGATTCTAGATACTTGAAAGGCTATTATCTTTGTTCACTTTCTTTCAAATTCTCTTTTTCTTCTTCTATTGTATTGTCAAAGTAATATTGCAACAATTCGAATATGAGTCTGCTATGTGCGTATTTTATGATAGTGCCATTCTGTTCTATATATTTCTTTTGCGGCTATAATACAACAGGAAAAAGAAGACAGATTACTGCGAAGTGCGAGAGTGGCCTTTTGTCCACATTAAAGAAGGAGGAAAGAAGAAAGAAAAGAGCACGATGAAGGAAATAAGAACGAGCAATGACTGGTAGACGTATTTCACCAGGAACTTTACCGGTATTCTTGCGCGCAAGTTTTTACTATAGCTAACCATGTAAATGCCTCGAGTCATTATAGTGTAGTTGTACTGTTCGTATTTTTTCCGATTAAAAGTCATTTTCACAAGTGAGAGGGAGGAAAAAACAAGCCGCAAAATAATAAAAAAAGAGTATGTTTATTCAATAAATATGTTTCACTGACGTTCTGTTTTTCTCTTTGCATAGATAGAATCTTTTGGGATGTTTATATATGCGTGTGTGTATTAGTTGATTTCATCTAGATAATTATAGTTTTTAGTCAATTGAAATTATTCGCAAGGTTTTGTGCCTAGGCAACAAAACACTCACTAACAATCTGTTACTTCATCATTAAAATTGTTTTTTCCTGTTTTTCTTTAACTGAAGGTAAATTAATACTTTCTTTTTCTTCTTCTAAGATTAACACTCGATCGCCGAAAAAAAGGATGATGGCGTCGGTATATTTGTTATTATTTTTTTTGTCATAATTCAGTTTGACACATACATTTCTAATCACTCATCTAATAACAACAACGACAACAGCAACGAAAACGTATGTGCCTTTCATCATTAACAACTTCACCCTGTTCGGCGTCATCTACTGGTACGTACTGATTAGTCTATTTTGAAATAAACAATTAGAAGAAATATTTTCCTTCTTTAGATTCATCATCATTATCCGGAGCAGCATCGAAAAGAAACGATATGATGGAAAATAATTTGCAAGAGGATTTCTCTTCAGAGGATATGCTTGTAGCTAAAAATTCTATGCCTGAAGATGATCCAAATGGTAATACCTTACATGATGCTAGAGAAATTCGTTGGGGACCTCAACATGCTGGTGCGAAATTACTTGCTAGCCAATATACAAAAGGTAATGGAGGAAAAATAAATATATAAGCCTATATTTAACTTATTATTGTTATTATTATTATTATTATTATTATCCAAATAATGAATAAAGATTTTGTTAGACACAGAAATTTATAGTTCTTTTGGGAAAACTTTACATGAATAACTATGAAAATCATAATCGTGAGTAAATATTCCATTTGAATAAACTAATATTTAATTGTTGATTTTTTTATTTGATTCCTTGTTTGCGAAAGAGACCTTTTTACTTGTATTATCGAATATCATTGTTTTCTGTATTTAGAAAAACGTTTTCAAGAAATCATCTCCATTATTCTATGCATTATATTTATGATCTATAATTTTTTCTTTATCTGTCGTTATTTTGATGTGAGAAATTGCTATCTTATCATTCCTTCGGCTTGTAAGTATAACCATAAGATGTTCTATGTTGAATAATTCGTAAAAATCTGTTTTTATTTTTCTGTCTAGTACTAGGTATTCTAACAGCAGACCTAGCTTCAGGCATTGTTCATTGGTGTGCTGATACATGGGGCTCAGTTGATATGCCATTTATCGGCCGAAATTTTCTACGTCCATTTCGAGAACATCATATTGATCCAACATCAATAACACGCCACGATTTTGTCGAAACTAATGGCGACAATTTTGCAGTTACCGTTCCCTATCTTTTATATATGGCCTACAAATTTACATATTGGAATGATACCGATCTACGAAAAATATACAATTTTGAAGTTTACATGTTTCTTCTAGCAATATTTGTCTCAATGACCAATCAAGTAAATAAATTCGAATCGCTTTCATAGTGACAAATATTTTTTGTTATTAGTTTCACAAATGGTCACACACTTATTTTGGCTTGCCTAGTTATATAGTTTTTCTACAACGTTATCATGTCATACTACCTCGTAAACATCATCGACTACATCACGGTATGTGTACTGAAAGTTGATCAGCTTAACTTTTCGTACTCGGATCTATGTTTGAAGAAAAAAAAAACAGTCAGCACGAATGTAAGCTACTTTTAACGAGATTTCGATTTCAGCTTGTTCTATTGGTACCGAGTTCAACAAAAGTTCTTCGCTAGTAGTAACACACAATTACAGTTGGACTAGCATAAAATCATAATCAAGCGAGTCCGAGAAGTATATTCATAAGAGACTTCCAGTATAGATATACGACTATTAGAACCCAGTAATTTTATCCGAGCAGAAGGATACAGTTCGTTGACTTGATAAATTTTCAATGATCATATTGATCTAGTAATGAAAAAAATTCTATTGGCCAGATAAGATAGCATCGATTTTTTTTTATAAATGTTCGAATTTTAACACGATTCTATTCTATTTATTTAGTCGTACCTCATGATACTTATTTTTGCAGTAAGTGGCTTATTAAAATAAATCAATATGTTTTTTTCTTTCTATTAACATTTATTTAGTTACAACCGGCTGGTTGAATTGGCCACTTGAGATGATTAAATTTTGGCCATGGCTTGAATCCATCGTAGAAACATATACAGGAGCAAAACCCCGCTCAGATGATTTCGCTTGGGCACAAAAGACCGAAAAAGTTCATTGCTATTAGCAATAGTTTCTTTTCTTAATAATTATTATTATCATCTATTCACATAGTCATAAAGCAAGTGCGATTAATCAGAAAATATCGCTTCTTCTTTCTTTCTTTTTTGTTTTGTTATAGTTTCTCAACTTTGCGCAATGTCTTTTTGTTTGTTTGTTTATTCACTTAAACCCACCGCTTTTTTTTTCTTTTTCTTTTTCTTAAAAAATTATCATTATCACTTTTTTTTGTTTGTCATTTTTGTTGCATCTGTGATGACTATTTGTGTGCGACGAATAGAATGAATGAATCCACCAAGCGATACAAAATAAAACAAAAAATCAAGAAATCGAGAAAAACCAAACGTCCTGTTGAACACAGCACACAATCGTCAGATAATGAACGAAATAAATAAAGCCGGATTTCTATTTGAACAACCCGGTATCATAAGATTATTGTCATTATTTATCCTTTACATGTGTTTTCTTTTTTTTGCTTGTTTCTCATTTCGTGTCTGTTGTTATTTTTTCTTTGCACAAAAAAAACAACGAAAAATAAAATAACAATAGAAGCATCTTTTTCTTTTCGACCAGACAATCTATAGATATTATAGATATGAGTGCTAATAAAAATGAATGCCTCGTATTTCCTGTTCAACAAATTATGTCCACATCAGTTGCAGCCATGTGTACAGCTTTATTAATGGTAGAAAAATCATAATCAACATGCAGATATATAGACTTCTAATCGCTTGTCTTTTTCTAGACGCCATTCGATGTTGTCAGAATCAGACTGCAATCACAACATCATCAGCTAGCGAAAGGTGATTGTTTCGTATTTCGTAATGGACTTGGTGATCATATGTGCACTTGTTTTAATGGGCACGAAACCGTACCCTGGTATAATCGATCAATACCAGGAAAATATTCTGGTACACTTGATGCATTGTTTAAAGTAATTTATTCTTGAATTTTTATTCATTTTATTTTTTTCAACATTTTAGATAACACGAAATGAAGGTATCAGATCGTTATGGTCTGGATTACCGCCAACGCTAGTTATGTCTTTACCAAATACCATTATTTATTTTACTGCATACGAGCAACTGAAATGTTTCATGGGCTATAAGAGAGATAATTTAAATCCAATTGTGCCCGGCATCGCTGGAGGTTCCGCGAGAATCTTAGCTGTGATGTTTACAAGTCCAATTGAATTAATCAGAACGAAGAAAATGGCAGCAAAATTATCCTATACTGATTTACATAAAATCTTAAGAGATTCAGTAGAATTGAATGGTTTTCGCACACTATGGAGAGGACTTGTGCCGACTCTTTGGAGAGATCTACCGTTCAGTAGTAAGTTTTAATCGATATTTGAAATTTCGTTGAAATGAAAATCTCGTACCTAAAAAATGTTATGAAGTAAAATTTTGTTGAATTCTTGTAAACAAAAAAATATGAACTAGTCTAGGTTGGCATAGTATCTGATTAGACAGCTACGACAAAGATTGATTTCCAATGGGACTATTAATCAGTCGAACGGGGACTGATTCTTGTCTTTTGGAAAACAATCGATCATTCAAAAAAAAGGAAATGAATCATTCGGACTGCTCTATAAAAAGAAAATCTACATTCAAATAATTGTTTCATGTATCAATTGAGATATTTTATCGAGAAAACGAAAACATAAATCACCATTTAAGATTACTAAAAACAAAATATTCGAATTTTTTTTTCTCTGCAAATCTGACAAGGGAATATCGTTTGATGAAAAATTGTTGTTGTCGGCAAGCTGATCAGAATTGTTAAATTTTTTTTCTTCGGCAGTTTTGATTGGTCTCAAGTCTAGAAAAATGACTCTAAACTATTATTCTACTAAATCACAAAACAGAACTTCTTCTGAAATTGTTGACCTTATCTATGATCTCAGTAAAATGCATAATTTACCTTAATTTCATTTTGTTTTTGTAAATTCAGTACAATTAATTTATGCGATTCATTGCTGACAACTATTAAAATGGAAGTACACCTTTATAGTAGGTAAGAGTCATTAGTCAGGAGTTGAGAATGACCTTAGTTTTCTTTTCTATAAACTGTCGATGGGGGAAGTAGGCTAAATGTCACTGTAATCAACTTATTGGATTCTGCAAAGTAGATCAAAAAAGGGAAATATGCACAGGGGAACCTATACTCATGAGATTGCAGATCAATTTTAAATCAGATCTATAGTTAAGTTACGATGATCATGGCCACTAGTGATTGTTTGTGCATCCGTCAAGCTGTCTGTATCAATCATATGTCGAAAATATTCATAACTATGCCTAATTTCTTTAGATGATCTTATTGTTTACAAGGTCGACCGTCATTTAGTTCATTATTTTACATCAAATGTTGTACGCTTTTCGATACTACCTGATGCAATTGATTTCACTGCGTTCGCTATGCTAAATTTATGAATGTTGTATTGGTTTTTAGTTTATTTTGAAACCATTTCCCTCATTGTCTTATCCGAAGCCAATGTTGATAATTATTAATTAGCGTATTTTATTTTAGTTTTCTATTGGTCTGCTTACGAACGATTAAAAGGTAAGTGTTGCATTGTTAGTTTGGCTTTTCGTCAAGAATAAATCAATTATTTTCAGTATATATTCTGGAACAGTTTCATGCAACGCCAACTTTAAGTGCATTTTATTCTGGTGCAACCGCCGGTATGATACTGAAATTTAGGTCTGTACTTTTAATGATGTTTTATTTGAAATCAATTAGGTGCGCTAGCAGCCATTCTTACACATCCATTCGATACAATCAAATCAATTCGTCAAGTTCAATTAGGTAGTAATCAATCACAATCAAACGAAAGCACACTTCATATCCTTCAACGAATGTTACAAACACAAGGCATACGTAGTTGGTATAAAGGTAAGAAAGAAAAATATTGTTTATTCTTTTTAATATTTTTTTTTTGCTTTTATATGAAGGCCTTGTTCCACGCTTATTGAAAGTTGCACCAGCATGTGCGATTATGATTTCAACAATTGAATTTTTCCGTCAAAATATATTTATATGAAACGCGTTAAAGTTTTTATTTCGTGATTCATAGTAAACCAGTTGTTTTCTAGTTATTTAATACGAATCCTATTTGTTGTTGCTTTTTTTCTTTTGGAATAAAATTTATATCGAATTAAAATTCTAAATCTTGTCAAATTAAGATTAAAATTTTGATCTTATTCTAATCCGAAGATTAAAGAGATATGATATATGATGAGTCATGGATTATAAAAGTCATTATTTTTTTCTTCAAACTGTTGTCTGTCAGTCATTGATCATGATTTATTCTACTAGAATTTTACTAATGAACTCGTTTTACGCTTGAAGAAAACAAATCCATAAAACAATTGAAAATCTATGATTATCAAATCAAATATTGAACGAGTTACAGTTAATTAAATATGATTCTTTGCGTAGCGATCACTTGTCGTCATTTGAATACGATTTTTTCTTTGACGGAGAAAATAAATATTCATCTTACATATAGTAGATCAACAAATAATCTGTATTAAAAACTGAGAAAGATGCTCACAAATATGTTCAGCTTCTAATCTTATCGGTTTATTGTGTCATTATGAATGTGCCTCAACAATATGTTACATATCAACTTAGGCTTATCGAACTCAATGCACTGGTGTTCTGTTCAGTGAGTGAAAGCTCAATCAAACTCTTTCTTCTATTTCTCTTTTCTTTCGTTCTTTCTGCTGCTGCTGCTGCTATAACTGACACTGTTACCGCTCCCATTTCTGTATAATCTGCCATTGGCAACGGTATCGAGCTACATGTATCTATTTCTTTTATAGTATATTCGGTTCATAAATCAAGATGATCAGAAGGAAAGAAGTCGGTAATGTTCAATTCTGTATTAGATTAACTCTTAAACAGCAATATAGAAAGAGACGCACGGCGAGTGAAAATAAAAAGTAACAAGGAGACGCTGTTAAAGCGACAATGAGTATAGCATCTTATCAAAAATGGACGATTAACACAACGATGATGAAAGTAGGTGAGGGAAGAAAACGACTCGATCGGCGAGCGAGAATGAATTTTTAGTGAACACAACACCTCGACTACTGTTGCTGTTGCTACTTGGAGAGAGAGAGAGTGCGAGAAGAAAAAAGTGATTACCGCGCGGCTCGAGCAAAGGAGGGGGGCCGTCGCACGATGTGTATTAGAATTGATTGCGATTTGTATGTATGTGTTTGACACAAACGCACTACCACCTTCATCACTACTCGAAATCCATTTCTTCCTTTTATTTTCTTCTCCTTCTCCGCGCCATCTCAACCGATTAAAGTTATAGCTATGTCTTACCAGAAGAGACTAATAGATATAGATATATTCATTTCTTTGCTTTTAACTATGCTCATTGGTTGGGTCAATAGAAGTGGTACACAACGGTAATCCAATACTTCGTATAGCAGGATAATGATTCCAATGCAGAAAGATAATAAAACAAGAAGGATAGACGCACTGACTCTTGGCCGTTTTTTCTTTTCACCTGAATATTCTTTTGCGCTACTCTCTTGTTCTTATATTCTACCAAAAGATTAATGATAGCTTATCGCTCTAGATGTTTAAATTTGCTGTCGCTTTTACTCGTTGACAAGACGCAAATATTATTTCTTTTGTTGTTAAAGTAAGGAAGTTTTTTTCTTTCTTTTATTACTATTATTGTTATTATTGTATATTCTTTTTCACACGCGACAATAAGTAGTAGTAGTAGTAGTAGTAGTAGTAACAGTAGTTGGACGACGATAATCAAAGTTGCCATTATCCTAATTTTCATGCGTTCGTCTCTCGTCATGGTGAATGCGTGTGAAAAAACAATCGTTTGTTCTTCTACTTCTCTATCTGTCACGCTAGTTAGAAAATAAATGTATTCGATTGTCAAATATATATAAAGGATAATCGATAAGACAGATTTTTAATTTCGTCTTTTCGTTTTAATATTAAGTGCAAATAAATAATTTGAAGATATCTCTAAAGAGAAGGGAAAAAAATGAATCGTTGTTCTATAAACATTGACACGTCAAGATTAGATGAGATAATACGCAAGTAGCAGTTTTCGTTCTTTTTTTTTTAACTAAAATGAAAACACTCGAGAAAATAAAAGAGCTTATCGCGAGGATTCACATGTGTGAAAAACAAAACAGGTAGAACTCATAGATGGCGTCGTTTTAGACATATTTAATTTTCCCCTTTCATCAGTTATTAAAATAAGAAAAAGAATAATATTAATAATATAATTCTCCTGTATAAGTGTGATATGCACCAGTTGTTGTCACACAAAATAAGTATATGTATGTACGTATGTATGTATGTATGCATGTTGTCTGTCAGATCATTCTTGTCATGTCGAACAAATTGAAGCAAATCAATCAAGCGACTATGACGAGTGGCCACCTTCTTTTCTTTTCTTTGTTACTTGCTAGCTTATATTGATGATATTCGCTTTCTTATTTCGTTCTTATTTCATTGACGAGCACCAGCCGTGCACATGCACATATATAGTACAGGCACCAGATTGTCGTCTTCAAAAAAAAAGAGAAGTTAATCTCTTTCTCCTATTGATTTGAGACGTATGTGTGTTAGTTGCGTTTTTCCTTTCTTTTTTTTTATTCTTATGTGAGTGGAAATCGAACCACCGCCATCATCATCATCATCATCATCATCGCTTCTTCTATATCGTATACATCAACTAATCCATCCATCCAAGACAAAAGCAGATGCACAAGTGAAAAGAGAAGGCTAATCGCTACCTTTCTTTTTCGTTCTCGATCATTACCGATTACGATATTAACAAACTGGTGGAACTATTTTTAGTGATACAATTTATTCTCGTTATTTGATTTTTGTGTTTCTTTTTGGTCAAATAATTGTCATAAAAAACTGTAGCAGGTAATCCATGTTCGTTACTCGTATGCATATGAAATTAAAGAAAATATCGTTTGCCAGCTAGCGAACGCAAGTCGATGTGTGCGTAGCTTTTTGAATAATTTAGAGAGTAAGAATAAAACAAAATGGAAAAAAAAGAGAATTAAACAAAAGTCCGGTCTGTCATATTCATTTGTTATGTTCATTTTTCTTCGAGCCATAACGTTGCGTGTTTTAATCTTTCAAAGTTGTAGTCTATTGCAAAATTGCTCGCACACATAAATTTGTCACCTCTTTTTTTTACTACGCACTTCCGCCATCAACTTTTCACACTGTGATTAGCACACACTAGGATTTTACAACAACGACTACCTCTCTTCTTATTGCGTTTGCTTTATAAGTGTCTTCAGAATGAAAATTCATTTTTTTAATGTCTTCCGGCTGAAGCATATATGTATGTGTTAGTTGCTATCTTTAATTGCAGAATAAAGTGAAAAGAAAGAGCAATAAGAAAATTCTTCAAACGCTTTGCGCTCACTTTCTCTTTAACCACTACTATTTTTTTTCAAAGTTCTTTCAAGCACATTTCCGTCCCTCTACCTATTCTCAGCAAGGAGCGCAGCGTAACACACTATGATGTTGTTATTGGGATAATCGTCGAGCGTTTGGTTGAAGCGTTCAAATTTTCCTTCTTTATTGCGTCTTGCTACTCCGACTCGGCTCCTTTCCTCTCTCTCTCTCTCTCTCTCTCACTCTCGTTTTTTTAAAAGTGAGAAATAATGCATCCGTATGTCAACTTTAGTTAAAACATACTTCTTTCGCCCTCTCTCTCCTCTTCTTATTTTTATTCAAGATTCTAGACGATAGAGAGAGAGAGAGAGAAAGAATGGCATCAGCCGGCTTCGTCTTCATTTCGAAATCACGGCCTCATTGTTTGCCATTGTGATTAACACTCTTAAAGAAATACCATAGAGTTTAACCTCACACGAAATATCACAATGTCATCACGCAGCCTGTTCAATCCGGCATGTGAGTGTATAAATCTATCTATCTTTCTATCTATTTATTTCTTCTTCTTTTTTGTTCGCTATGAAATTTTATTGGGTGTCGACATAACGATTGAAAAGCTATTATCATTCAATAACAGTTGTTACTCATCACAGTGGATGAGGCGAAGCGGCTAGTGAAATTGAATAGGGTAGTGTAGCAATACTTTATCTCGCTAACGAGAGGAATTGAGTAAAGCAATAGCAATCGCATTTGTGCTTGCACGCCTGTCCTATTGATTTAAGACACGGAAGAATATGTTGACAGATCGATACAATGTTAAAGAATAAGAAAAAATTAAGAAGACTTTATGACGTTTGTCAATTTACTCTTTGGTGGCGTCTTCTTCTTCTTCGATCTCTCTCTCTCTCTCTCTCTCTCTATCTATCTATCTATCTCGTTTGCATTCATACGATTGGATGCTAGCTCATACATATACATAGTAGCATAGTTACGCTTGGCTAACGTTGTGCAATAAAACGGGAGCGAGCGAATCAAGATAAAACAAATTATTTGACAAAAATGAAAAGAGAGAGAGAGAATGAAAAAACACGATATATAGGCAATGATCGATATCTTGTTTTATTGCAATAATCACTTATCAATATAATGTAAGAGAAACGAGACGAGAAAAGAAAGCAATTGGTGAAAATTATCATTATCGCAAGACGATGTAGTAGGTGTCCTTATTGATTTGTTGGCAAGGTTTTTCCTTCTTCTCGCTTTCGCGTTTTAACTGGTTGATGGTCTCGGTTCATTGCGGCTTGAGTGTTACGAAATATTGACTAATAAAAATGATGTTGAGAGAAGAAAAGGTGTCATTTACAAAGCCTCGAATATGTTCGACGTCAATTGATTGGTTGTCAATATATTTATACGAGAGAAAAAGAGAAAACGATAGCGAAAAGAACTAGGTCTTCTCCCCGATCACATTCGTATATCATATCTATCTTCGTTCGTTTTCGTTCTTCTTCTTCGTCGTTGAAGCGCGAAGAAGAGAAAAAGGATTTGTTAATTGAAAAAAAGAGAAAAAAAGAAGAAGAAAACTGACAGACTCAAGTAACAACAGACAGTCCACTCAAACGTTTTTTTCTCTTTTAACTTGATCTTACTTCATCGCTTCTTCTCTTTTTCTTTTCTTTTCAACTTTTGTACTTAAACTTTTCAATCAAAGAAGGAAAAATCTCAAAGGAAAAGAAAAACTAAATGGTTTCTCGCCGTTTGGATAAACTTTCGGCAGGTAAATATGTGCTACATTAATGAAAATAAAAATGAAAACTATTCATACTCCAATCAATAGAACGAATGATTAGTGTATCGAATAAGTAGAACATATTTAATAAAAGACAATAGATATAAATGTGTGAAACTTCATTTACTTTTTATTCTCTTTGTTTTCTAAAGGTCTGGCGTTAAGCAATAAATTTTTGCCGGTCCACTGTGTGGTTGCACGAGACGAGTGTCCACAACGTGTAATACAAGATGGTTTTGTAATTGTACCGGCATATACAAAATTTCATGAAATTGTATCAGTGGTTTTACGTTCTATGGAAGCTGATGTTGGCAAAATTGAACAAGATGAAAGAGCAGATGGTAAGAAAGAAAGAAAGAAAGAGTTTTTCTAATTTATTTATTAGATTTAATAGAAGCTTTTAGTTTTTCTTCCCATGTTTGTCTCCTAAAAGAGACACATTTCAACTAATAATTATCAAACGATTCGAGTTCATTTAATGAGAAATTTATGATAGTTTTATTGACTATTCTATTGTTTATCTATGATGAAGCGATCGTCGGTTTTTGGTGGTGTTTAAAATATATTATGAAAAAGAATAATTCTTTCTACATAAAGAGCAGGCCAAAGTGGCTTTATAGAGACTCTCCACGAATATTTATATATATATTTATATGAAAGAGCTCTTCAACGATTAAAATAACTAAAACATCTATAATGTTCATTTATGATCTTCTAAAGAACTATTTATTGTCATGGCAATCATTTTAAAATAAGTTATCATAGAAGTGTTAGTGTACTGTTCGAAACTCAGTCGTATACTAGGAACTAGAATAAATATCTTTTAGTCACATCTCAATGGAAACTACAAGATCTAAATATGTTCGATATGATATTAAGGTTATGCGAGTAAGGTGTTAATATTTCTATGAGCTATAATAATAGAAGAATAAAAAAACGCTGTGATGACAATCCTTGAGGTTCGAACAATTTTGTTGATGTAATAGAAATTTTTATTGACTTGATTCTTATCTTATGATTATGAAAGTTCGCTTTCGAATCGATGAGTTTTGATTGATCGATCTGTAAGAAGAAAAATATTAAGGTGTTTCTTTTTTCTTCTTCTTGTTGAGTCTGTGTCAATTTAGAAGCCCTAAAAATGCTTTACATGTGTCGAATCATTTTTGATTTGAAGCTTTATTGATTGTGTACGTCTTCGTGACCTATTAATACTCTTCAAATATTGCGAACTATAACATTTTCAGTAGCACTCTGCCATCGCGTCCTCGGAAAACTATGTTATGAAATTCAGCTAGGAATTTTGAACAAAGACAAATATGAATGAGAGTTCCTATAAGTCGGAATTCGAAAATAAGTTTTTCGAGAATTTTAACAGCGATTATTTAATATTAGAAACTCTTTTCTAAATCTTTATGATTCATCATGACCGATATAGTCTCGCGTAATGAATGATTTCATGCTTGACAAATGTTTTCTTGTTATTCTTGATTATTATTTTTGTAGACCTTAGTAATAAACTGGCCAAAAGTACGAGATATCTTTCAATGAACTTTTTTTTCAGGTCAAATTTTGATAAAAAATTGGAATCCATTGCCTATTACAACCGTAACTGAAAATCGAACGGTAACAGTTCAAGATATCTTGGGCGATCTTATGAACGTCGCCATACTTAAAATTCGAATTTCCAAGTAAGAACTTTTAGAAAAGTAATAACAGCAACGAGAACCTTTTTTTTACAGGTATTCAAGTAAATTAGAAGATAAAAAAGCCGTACGTTTATTAAAACAACTGATGCCTTTAGTCAATAATGATGAACAAGATAAACATACGGTATGTGAAAATATTGATTTCATAGAAATGACTTGATGAGTTAAATTTTATGTTTTCTTAGCTAACTGGCAGATCATTTCAAATAATGCACGACGATATTGAAGATCATGATAATAGACACGAACAAACTTCACCATTAAAATCTACAACAAGTCCTAATGGTTATTCATTAGCATCGTCCAATTCAAACACAACCGACGGGTAAATAGAAAAGAATGTTTTTTCTTCTTCTCTTTTTTGACATCTATTGTAATATTAAAATAGTGATAATACGCCATTGAATCTTTCAAAAAAACAATATTCATCAACACTACAACAAATTAATTCCAATAAATCTTATATTAATTATCCATTTGCTAGCCTTTTATCATTTGCTCAACAACAGTATGACCCAACACCAATTAATTCGTCGCCAACAATAAAAGATTATGCATACAATCGTCGGCAACGTGAACGTACAACATTCGATCCACATGAAGAAACACCACGTTTATTGCAAATATTTACTGATACAAAACATCCAACACGTTATCAAATAGCATCTATCTGTGAAAATCTTAATGGTTTACCATGTCGAAAAGGTTCGTCGGATTTTATTTTCGAGTTCGGCAATTTCTTGAAATATTCCCCTTTGTTGTAGGAAAAAAAGCTCTTGAACCTTATAATATTCAATATTGGTTTAAGAATGCTCGCGCCGCATTAAAACGTAAGAAACGTCGTTTTGTTACTCCAGACAATTCAATACAACCACCACCACAACAACAGCAGCAGCAGCAGCAACAACAAGCATATAATTTATCATCGCCGAATCAAATGAATAATCATGATGAACAGAATCATCCATCGATAAAATGTGAACTTGATTCGTCTGATGAAATTGATGAAGACCTTGATGACGACATTGATATTGATGAAAAACAAAAGCAACAAAACCATAATAATTATTATTTCAACTATTTACAAGCATTTGACATATCATTAACAGATAAGCAACGACAAAAAACAACACAATCCGACGAAAGTAACGATGATGATGATAATATGAGTTCGATAAGCGAACAAACACCACCAACACAGATCCTATTAAATTCAACAAAGATTTCGAATACAACAACATCATTTGATTATAATCGTTCACGACGTAACCGAATATTCATTGATCCGACATCTGAAGTGCCCAAATTAGAACAATGGTTTGCTATTGAAACACATCCCGATCATATATTAATCGAACGTATTTGTTCCGAATTAAATGAAGGTGAATATCGAACAAAATTTCCTAAACTCGAATCAAAACATATACGTTTATGGTTTAAAAATCATCGTGCAAAAGTAAAACGTATATGTCGAATACAAACGCCCACTGTTAATAATAATAATACTAATGATTCATCAATTAAAACAGCTGAAACAACAGAGAAGAAAATGCACAATGTGTAATAAAATAAAAAAAGGAACAGGAAAAACTAACATTTCTTCTTTCCATCTGTGATGCTTTTTGTTTTCTATTTTTCTTTCCAATACACTGCTGATAGACTGTTCACAATTATATATTGAAATCACATTCACCCCACATACACTCCGTTGCATATTGTGATTATTTACATATTCTATATGTCTTCTTATAACATGTGAATTCTCTTCTTCTTTTTTTTGTTCTTCTTGCCTTGGATAAATCTTGTATTAGTATTTCTCTTAATATTCAATTTTGCCATGGTTTCTTCTTTCTTTTTTTTGTCTTTGCTTGTTGTTTTTTTTTTGTTGTTTATTATTATTATTTTTTTTCCTGATAATGATTGAAAAAAACACGTATAAATATGAATATATATATATGTATTATCTTGAATCAGATATCTGTACTTGAAGCATGCAAAGAACAGATGCACCAGTTTGCATGCGACATGTTTTAAATCGTATTGAAATAAATATTAAACCGTATGGTTCATTTGATAAATTCGTATTAGAAAATAGTCAAGCGATGAGTAAGCAACACAAAATTTTCATCAGACTGGTTCGACAAAAAACAAAAAGGGCAAAGTTCAGTCATGATGAGAGTTTAAGTATTATGAAATGTCACATCATTTTGACGTTGACAAAAACAATGGTCTTCATTTCATATGTCATACGAAGATATTGGCAGTAAAGAGAATTAAATGTCTTTCTATACATGAAAATAAAAGACATATCCCAATATTGTGACAGATACTTACAATTTTTGCTCGTGGCTGTGCCCTTCTATCATCTAAGATTTTTCTATAATTAAAATATACATTATGTAATTTCTATTGTTTATTGTAAAAACATAAGTAAGGATAACCTTTTTCTTTGAAATAAAATTCTCTCGATTTTATTGTAGTAATATGATGACATCTAGTCAGATTTATTAATTTCTATTCGTATTGTTTTAGTAGAATGTCAAGGAGTCATTGAATTCTGATGGTTTATTATAATTAATTAGTTAATAATATTAATATGATAGATGCTGTTTCATTAAGACCATAGAATATTATTTTCTTTGTTAAAGAATCGACATTGGCGAGGAATATATTTACAAAATTGTTGATCGACGTTCTGTCCATGTCCTCAAAATCGCTAAAAAATCGATGATTATATGGCGGGATATTAGGGCGATGTATCGTGAGATCTTATCGCGATATAATCGTTCAAATTGCCGATTTTGTTTTTCAATTTTTAAGAAAAATTGAGACTAATTTACGGCTGCGTAACCAGCTTAGATTTCTCATGAAAAAAGGTACAAAAAGTAAGTGTTTTCAAGACTTTTGATATCTATAGAATGCGTATCTTCCTTATCCGTTGGAGTTTCCTGAGAGCGACTGATATACTATTGATCTTACTGTGCGTGCCAACTCGTTTTTTTTTTTATTACCGTAGAGCAGATTCAACCAGATGAACTTGCATTTTGGAATCATGAAATATACAACTGTACTATACTTACGTATATATGAGATTGTTGAATTTTTGAAGTGTATTCAATAAACTTTGTTACAACCACGAAAATGCTACTGAGAGTAAAAAATAGGGATGTAATTTTCCTGTTATTTTAAAATAAATATAAATAATTTATTTTGATAATTTCCATGTAAAAGTAAACTTGAATGATAACAATTCATATTTACATATAAAAAATATTTCTAACTAAATTTCATTAAAATACATATTATCGCAAAATTATTTAATCTAAAACAAAATAAATGTGATTTATATGTATCTTTATATATAAATATTTTCTATAATCTATATTTAACAACGTTAATTATGGAAAAAGTTTTTATTTAATATAGTCATAAATTCAAGTATACGAAGAAATTGACATCTCCTAGTGCGTAATATCATAATCCCGTTACACCCGGTAACGACTTTTTCTCCGGCTAAACATACTTTATAAGCATTCGGTGTATTACCCCCAAGGTATCCACTTTTATATAACTATATGTTTTAAGTTGATGAATTTGAGTTGCTTTGGGATATTTCCCTAAAGCGTAACAACTTCAATATCCTAGAAGAAATACAACAAAAAAACTCAAATTCGCATAAGATGCTCAATTCGAATTTGAATATAATTGATGCATGTACTGACCAATAACACTTCGGAAAAACTTAAGGTACAGATATGGCTACAGGAAAAAGGAAATAATATAATTTTATCTGAATTGTATTTTATATATTTTGAATTTAGACATGAATATTACTGTAAGGCTGAAACGCATAACATAAACTATGATTCCTAGGAGCATGTCATGAATTTCTGGCAATGCTTAACATTCGTAGACGGAAACCGGACGTTACTACACGAATGTCTCAGGCTTCTGAAAGAATGCGTGAAATTGCTGAAACCATGTATAAGGTTGCTAAGATTATTCCTCGACTTTCGAGAACCTTGCCTGACGTTGCTGACAGTACGACTTGAGTCCTGCCAGACACACCACAGGTACNTGTCACGCCTCTTGAAAGAAAATGATTTATTTCGTAATATTTCAGTGAAGATTTTTGCAGAGCGCAAGGATGGTTGAAATCAAAATTGGAAATTTCTAATGGTATTCCCCGATAGAGCTGAACGTGTTGATGCACATATTTATCGTTTAAAATAATGCACTGATGGGAACATGAAAAAATAATAAAGGAATTATTAGTTCAGAGTAATCAAATTTTATTGAAAATGTTGTCGATAAAATGTCGAAGAATAACTATTCCAACTGATTGTTTGTCTGATTCATAAGATGGCGCTTACTAAATGCTGTGCCCATACTGACTCACGGTCTCAAAATAAACAACAAGAAATATATTCGTAGTCATTTATCAAATAGTTCAGGGTAGAGAACATCACGATGATTCACATTTATGAAGAACTGGTGTAAAATAAGAGAGTGATTTAATCTTCATCTAATTACGATGAGACATAAATCTTAAAATAAAGAATAGCAAAATCGACATATTACGGTTACAACATTCCGTAAGGAGTCTTTGTCAACATTTCATGCAAACGAGTGTCTTCGCAAGAAAATGTCACAACTAAGCATAATCTATATGAGAAAGAGTATCGACGAATAGCATAAGATGCTCAATTCGAATTTGAATATTACTGATGCATGTACTGACCAATAACACTTCGGAAAAACTTAAGGCACAGATATGGCTACAGGAAAATGCAAATAATATCATTCTATCTGAATTGTATTTTAAATAATTTGAATTTAGACATGCATATTACTGAGGCTGAAATGCATGTCATGGGTTCCTGACAATGCGTAACATTGGTAGAGGGAAGCCTGTCGCTGCTGGAAGTGAGCCGGACGCTACTACATGAATATCTGAGGCTTCTAAAAGAATGCGTGAAATTGCTGAAACCATGTATAAGGTTGCTAAGATTATTCCTCGACTTTCGAGAACCTTGCCTGACGTTGCTGACAGTACGACTTGAGTCCTGCCAGACACACCACAGGTACCGGAGCACATATCAGAGCTGCTAGATACTTTATAGAGGTTACTGCAACTGTGCCTCATCTGGTTACAGGTACTTAAGCCAACTTCCCCACAAGGTAACCCATACATATGGGAGTCACTCAAATTCGTGCAGCAAACCCAGGAATGCTTCTAGCAACCTCATGAATTGTTGTAGCAAACGCAGGTATGCTTGTAGTAGGCTCAAGGTCATCAATGGATTCTTCGAAAATCTCGTTTATATTCGATATGAAATTAGGCAGCTGCTCCGAATTCCTCAACTTAAAACATATAGTTATATAAAAGTGGATACCCTAGGGGTAATACCACAAAAAGAATTCGATGGGTATTATGACCTCGAAATCACGATACACAGTGTAACGGTATTATGACATTTATGATTGAAAGAAACTGGCTATGTAATTATAATGATTGAAAACTAATCATCGTTTGTATAGGAAGCAATACAAGTTTCTGTTGACACTAATCAACGATTGGTGATAGAGGCCAATCATTGTAATAGATTACATAATGCAATATGAGACAGTTCGACTAAACAAGAAGAGATTGACAAGTTCATCATTTTGTTTATTTAAGCGAATAAATCAAGAATTAATGAGTTAGATAATTGTCTTCTAGTATGTTATACAATTAAAAAATATGTTTTTGGTGAAAATATCTGAAAATTCGCAGTTAGTTTCGATCAATCACAAATCTCACAATAGTCAACGATTTATGACGGTACATCTGCGCTACTTAAAAAGAAATCGGCAATCAATCGTAATTAATAGCTGACATTTATCAAAATCACGATGTATCATCAAAACTTAGACGATTTCAACGACATGGATCGTATTGCAAGCTATCACATTCTATTGATACACGCATTTTCTCATTTAGTTGATTCCAAATATAGATATAAGATCCTCATTTCTGTCTCGATTTTCTTCTTTTCAAAAATAGTAGGTATATTGTGTAACTGGACAATTCATCGCATAGTTAATTGAATGTAACGCAATTGATGTAGAGGTGAAGCGAGAAATTTATTCATAGAGAAGTCTAGTGAAAATCATATTTTAGTTAAATTTACCTTTGCGATCTCAACTGTGATAATGAAAAGTCATTTGTTATGTATTCTTTTCTCTCACATTATTAAACTCAGTCATCGGCGAGACAGCAACGTGATCGTATGACAACAGAACGGAACAAAAGGATAATCTCCCTCATATGGAATCGAGCTAACATCTTCTGCTTTCCAGGCAGCTGCGCTAGTAGGGAGCGTGTATTATTCGTTTGTTCCGTCTTATAATCGAAGGGGAACACTTTGGTCATAGCATTCTTTTTTTTAGTTTAATTTACCTTTGAAATCTTTAGTGTGATATCGAAAACTCATTTTCGCAAAAGCTTTTCGTTCTGAAGTATAATAGTAACCTTCATTGTCAAGCATAGACTTTTCCTTCTCACTTGAAAAAGTCTTGTTTGCACTCATTCTTCATAAAATAGTAGTAAATTATTAAATTACTATTGAACACAAGTGACTGCCTTTACTTTATAGAATCATTTTATCTTTAGCTTTCAAAATAATTGTTTTTTTTTCTATTATTCAAAAATACTATTAGAATATTTATTTTTGGCTTGGTGAGAATAACAGAGTTATAATTTTATACATTAATTGAAACACTGTTTTAGTTAAGCCGATTAACAGTAAGACATGATACAATTCTAATCAATTACAGTACATTCGTGACGAATAGTCTGGCAAGAAATTGTTCATACAACGAATTGTCCATGCGACAAATTCACCTAGCACCGTATCGCTACATCTTTTTTTTAGTATAATTTTAATAATAAGTTGTATATACAGTCGCATGGTTGATTAAATTATCAGAGCCTAGAAATGTTTTTTGCATTTCAACCATAATAAATCGGGGAGCTTTTAATATCGTTTCATCTGTAAAAAAATAAAACGTCGTGTGTAGGCTTTATGTTAGCTCATTGACATGACAAATACATACACGCATGTTCATGTCTTATTAATGTGCATTTAACAAAAAATTTCATGCTGATCTTTTAATCAGTATGTTGTCTAAGATAAGAAAAGAAGCTTCCTGTGTGTGAGTTGCTTTTTCTCTACTTAGCATCGTACATCGCAGCGCTTGTCAGGATTCCAGCGAAAAAATTATTTACAAAGGACATCTCCCTCGGGATTTATCAGGACATTGTGATGTATGCTTAACATACACTTACAGATTTGTTTACTGACCATGTGTTAAATATTTCATTGTAGAATAATGATTATCTCAGCTAATCTAATCGTGTTCTTTAATAGCAGAAAATAATTTTCCAATATTTATATTTATACGCGACAAAACGCATGAAATCTATAAACTCGAAAATGACTGCTCTTTAACATGCTGTTTGAGTACGATTATAATAGTATTGTTCATTCTTGTATTATTTTGTTTTTTTCTCTTCTTTTTGTTTCAATGATTTTTATTAATTATTTTCCGATTAGAATAATTAATTATTTTATCTTAAGATCCTCAAGAGATATCTTTTTCCTTATTCAGTTTTATTTTATTTGTTATGTTTTGTTTTTGCTATTTACAATACGTATCTGACTATACTTTAATGGTGGAACGGAATGACAAGATAATAATATTGGCCGATAAAATCTATATGTTTTGACGTTCCGCTCCACTATTAAAGAAAAGGAATAGTCAGATACGTATTGCAAATAGTAGAAACAAAAACATAACAACAAATAAAATAGAACTGAAGAAGGAGAAAGATATCTCCGAAACGTCTTAAAATAATTTATAAAAAAATGCGGAAACATCGCATTTGCATCCGATTGTTATGTGTACTTCAAAAGCGGAATCGATTTATGTATGTTGTGAATAATTCTGAGAAAAAAACATTTTTTTTGAAAAAATCCCTGTACCCCCCTTCAGGGGTAGTCTGGTCAATAATGACATGTTTTTCGATAACTCAGCCATTTCTTGACGGATCCTTCTCATCTTCGAACTCGACTGAGATATTGATGAGATCATTCTGTGTACAAGATTTCATGACAATTGGATAAGGCTTTCAAGAGTTATCGTGTTAACGGCAGGGCGGACACACTGGCCGAATCTAGTGTACTCATTTTTTGAGTACACAAAAACATTAAAGAAAAAGGAAGAGAAAAAAACACAATAATACAATTATAATGACCTTTCTCAACACATGTAATTATTCATTTTTAACCGACAGAAATAATTCTTAATGAAAGTCTAAGAAACGGTAGGCAGTTATTTATATAATGATTTACTGTTTGTCTTTCTTTGAATTGTTCTTCATATTTTTATTCTACTTCTATTGTCTCGATAAATCGAATTTAATTGAGAAACTGTTGTTTTCCTATTCTCGAAAAAAAGAAAACTTTTTTCATATCCTAAATATAGCAGCGGATATTAAATAGGAAAAAAGCACGACTTTTCTTCTGTTTATGACATGAGAAAATGGAAAATTTTATTCCATATAATGGATTTGAGTAGAAAGCATTTTTCTCTTACACCTTTTAGAATTTTTTTTAATACTCTGTTTAAAACTATCATGCATTAATATTTGTAATTGGATGAGAGAACATTCTTGTCTTTTCATTATCTGTCATCATGTTCATCTAGCAACAAAATTCAGAAATGAAATTTTTCTACTGCTTACTCATCATCTCATTTTACTCTATTGATTTTCACTATTATAGCCAAGAAACATAAAGAACTTTGGCACATCTATAAATAATATTTGAGCATCGATTCTACCTAAATAGATGGTAACAATGTCAAGATACACAAGAGTATGATGAGATTTTCATTTGTAACAGTTGAATTTTAGTGTTTCCACACTTTTGTTTTGGTCTTATCTATACCTAAATTTGTGCCATTGATTTGTGCTGACGTCATCAATTAGTTCCGATTTTCATCTTAGGAAATGTTCGTTGTATTTTGAAACATCGTACATACATGAAGAAGCAGAAGATAATTTCATGCAATAATATAGGAGAAAGAAAAATATGAGAGAGCGAGAAAGAAAGATAGAATAGAAAAGCTAACATTTTTTAGAGACAATGCCAGAACGACAGATAATGTGCTGTTGCTGGTGTAAAAAGAAGATAACGGAAGAAACTATTCCATTCAAACCAATAACTCGATGCTATAATGCTTCAACGTTTCTTTTATTATAGTCGGCACATTTGAATAATGCATCAAGTTGACATGTCTCTTATGTTGTTTACACATTATTTATTTGGTTATGTCGGTAAGTACATATTTTATTTTGAACGGTCATTAATAATTAATTTTTTCATTAGGTACAACTATGTGTTCAATAGGACTTGCTCTTACTCTATGTTCTGTTTATGTATTTACTCGGCGACAAATGGTAACTATGATAATTATCGGTTTTGAAACGTTTCTTTTTTTTCTTATTCTAATAGCGTAGTGTTGTTTCTACTTATTTGACTGGTTTGAGTATCAGTGATAGTTGTCTATTATTATTGGGCCTTGTTTTTGCCATTAATTCTTCTATTCCTCCCAATCGACAAAGTGAATCGTTTTATTCTTCACGACTTCATAAATATCTATTTCCGTATGTATATGCTTGTATTATTTGGTTTCAATTCACGAGTGTTTGGGTGATAATTGGCTTCGCTATTGACAGATGGTTTGCTATAAAATGGCCAATGCTTCATTACACGCACAGCTCGAAAAGAGCTTCGTAAGTTGAATTTTGTTGTCAAGCATTTTTTAGACATCTAATCAGCTTTTGTCTATGGCAGACATCTGCTTGTGTTTCAGCTAGAATAAGGTGACGTAAAGATTAAAATAGCTTTGAGCTTTCAACAGATTAATCTATTTCACAGCTTTGAAAATAAATTTCTTGAATAGAAGAAGAAAAAAAAGAAACTTAATAAAGTGAAATAATTACAGTACTTAAGTTATTTTATGATAAATAACAATTGGCACCTGTTGCATATGGGAGCATCTATTTTAAGATGAAGCGCACGAGCTTTCATTTGTAGTGTTAATTGCTTTTTTTTATCTATATCAATTGTGTAATCCTTTTTACCGTTTGCGAATCCGATAATACGAACATTCAAGTAAGATCCATGATACTCGTTGAGATTTTCCTATAGTGGATACTTTCCGTGGGTCATCTAGAAATTGAAAAAACTTTAAATTTACGAGAAATGCGGACGCTGTTTCCGACATTTTGACAGAATATAAAATTTTCATTATTATTCCATCTCATAATTAAACTGATAATTACCGATTTTCTCATAGAAAATAAATTCTTTTGTTTTTCAGGTATATTGTAGTGACAATTTATTGTTTGGGTTTTATCTATGCATTACCACGATTTTTTGAATATAAAACAGAAGTGCGACGTGAACAATTAGCTGTAATTGAAAACTATACGGAATATATTGATCATATTGTGATAAAGAATAAATTACTTAATAATCGTTTCTATCAATATACCGTTCATATTAGTAAGCAAAATGATTTCGAAATTTATTCATTTTAATAAAATTAATTATTTTATTTTTAATTTAATTCTAGTTCTTTACAGTCTTTTGCAAAGTATTCTTCCACTTCTATTGTTGTCTTATTTCAATGTCGAACTTATTCGAAGTGTTCATGCTAGTTCGAATTTTCTCGAACGTTGTACACCTGTTTATGGGCAAAATGCACGTGCAGCAGGTGAAGTAACTGTATCACGTTATAGAGACGGTGTAGCAACACGTTCAGTGATATGTTTAATTGGCCTATTCACGATATGCCAAGTGCCAGCGCCAATACTTCATTACATATACATGTTTTATCGCAATCACAAATGGCTTTATATTTGTTATGACATCTCAAATTTTCTTATTTTATTCAATAGTACCGTAAGAACAAAATGACCTTTCTTGAATTTATCTATTGGTTTTTGTTTTATATTTTTAGCTAAATTTTTTTATTTTTACATGTTTTAATCGAAAATTTCGTCGGGAATTAACAAATATTTGTTGCCGCAGATCGGCTCGAGCTGGTGCGTCACGCAAATTACTGAGGTATCAAGCGACGGGAGGAACAAGCTTGCGCGCGCGCCCAGCACAACAGAACTCCTTCAATGTAAGTAGATTACTTTCCCATATTGATAGTAACGACATAAAATATCGCACGGCAATAGTCTCATCATTAGAATTAGAAAATCGGAAGCAACTACATTGTTTATGATTTTCTCTGACATATTTAATCAAATCATCTCTCTTCTTCTATAAATTTTTGTAATTTGAAGACTTCTCATCAAAACTACTGGGAATATCAGAAACGAATTAATAATGGCTGCTGCTATCCTCTACGAAAACAGTCAACCGACTCGGAATCTCAATATTGCTCAATGTATAGACTGAAGAATTCTTCAATTAATAATAATAATAATAATAATAATAATAATAATAATAATAATAACAACCAATCAAAATATGTTCAATATTCTATATGTGGATGTAATCATAAAACAGATTCCCCTAAAGAATCGACATCATCAAGCTTTAATCCGCAAACATCAAAATGTAAAAAAAATGATATTTATTCACGTCATAATACACAGCAATCTTCATTAAATCGCAAACAATCTTTGTCACACCAAGAAAATGACCTGAATAATATTCATAGTCACGAACAAAAAATTCAATATATCGCATTTCAATGTAAAACGAATCATCAAAAAGTGACGAAACAATCATCTTCAATTTCGCCGACAACAGCAAATGTAAATCAGCCACAAACACAATCCAAAGTGTAAAATAATGATATTCACTTATCTTAAAATTCGTCGTTACAAGAAAAAACGATTTTTTTTATCGATGTTGAATTTATAACTTATCCATTACCTCTTCGAAATACACCATTGGAAAGACTAGTGTATAGTTCTCATCGCAAAAGTTTTTGCAATAAATTTCAACATCATCCGAGATGAAAACAATTGAACATATGATGTTAATTATATAAAATTAAGCGTGGAAAACGCGGAAAGACATTAGAAATTAGAATACAGATCATTTCGTTCGAAAAATATCATCTAGAAGAATACGAGGGCTTTTCTGAAATTTCCGATCAGTCATATAAAACTCTTGACAGGGTTATCAAAAAAAACACGAGACGATTCATCTGCTGCATACATCACAGCGCTTGCCAGGATTCCAGCGAAAAAATTATTTGCAAAGGACGACCCCCTCGGGATTTATCAGGATACTGCGCTGTATGATCTGATGAGATAAACTCTGCTAGAATTTCTGTTCTTTTGTGAGACTGGATTTATGAGAAAGAAATATGACGTAAACATGTTTACACGACCGACGCTTGAATAATGCTAAGGACGTATTCGTTTGAATTCATTTAAGAAAACCATAAAAGTTAAAAACAATATTGCGGATATGAACGAACACATTAGTTTTAATTCATATAAATATTTCATTAAAAGAAAAGGAAAGCTACTATTATGAAATATGAGTATATTTCACAGTCGTCTCAGATTTATGGCTACGAAAAAATCCTTTTACAATATTATTTGAAAGAAAATCCAAGTTTTGTGTAAGCAACAAAACAGACTGCGAGCTTATCAATATTTTAGCGATTCAAAGTATCATACGCATTGCTCACTACAAGATGAATTCACTAGTACCGGCTGACTAAAGTTTTAATTAAAAACAAATTTTTCACTCCTCTAATTTTTATTTAAGCAAAAAAACCTTTAAGGGCATTCGCGATGGATTTTACACAAAATATTCAAAATGATACTAAATATCTATATGTCAAAAATAATAGGATTTATTGTTAATGTAAAAATGCCGCAAGAAAAAAAAGCTCCAAGTTTTTATTAACATATATTTTTATTAGTACTCGCTTTTGAACCAATATCCGTCATTAATGATTGTACAAAAGTTAATAATGTAATAAATACACCAACAGCAACATAAAAAATGGCAATACTTATCGAAAGAACATTATGCCATGAATAAATCCATTGTTCTTCGATATGAAAGTATAAACAAAGACCTAAATACAACAGATATGAATAGTAAATAAAAGAGTAGAATCTTGATTTTTAACCAGGAAAGATGAAAATAAAACTTGCTGCTAGCGCCCCCAAATAATGTATTGCCAATGATATATTTGGTAAAAAGACGGCTCCAACTAATGTACTAAAAAACCATAAGCAAACAATTATAACACGACGTTTTATTGATGATTCTTTGTTTGAAGTAGTAAATGAATCGATCGCAATTCTAACAAAAAGCAATGAAATTAAATTTCTTAAGAGAAAAAAACATTTTTTACCTTCCACAGAATAAATTTACTGGATAGGCCGTGTATGTTTTTATGGCAACCATAATAACCGCAATGAGAACAGGTAATAATTTAGGATCATAAGACATCTATTTTTATTAAAAAAAAAGAATTTCATTTAGAAATTGCGTTTTTCAGTTAATTTCCGTGTCGATAATTCCCTACATGGTATACTTCTTTTGATTCCCTGATACAATTTTTCTCATGAGGAAGAAAGAGATTATTTAGCCGAGTCCTGATAGAAGTCATTATCTCGATCTCTTCTAGTACATTTAATAAACGAGAAAACTTCTCTTCAGATCGATCAGCCATACGAACATCTGAAAAATTTTATTTAACAAAGAAACGATGCAAGCAATGGTCACTCATGTGTGAATAAATTCTCTGTTCAAGTACTTACTAGTATATCATGATCAATAGTTATTCCAAATGTTAGATAACCACAAATAGCTACTAAACAATAACTACAAATTAAAACAATAGTTGATGCCAATGTTGCTTTGACACACTCAGCACGAGTTTTTAATGATACAAAAACCGGTACAGCATTTACATGAGCCTAGAAAAAACGACTCATTTATTCATTCATTTAACAGCCATTCTACAAACTTGATAAGAAAAACACATCGTTGGTAATACTAAAAATATATCTGTCCATGAGTCAGGACTTAAAATTGATCGAAATGAATTTTCATTTTTATTTTTATTTTCTTTCCATACCCTTTTTTAATGATGACATCTTTCGGTGGATGAACAAAGTATTCAACCGGTACCATTATGACAACATAAATAATTGCCAATACACCAAGCATACTAAAACAAAATCTATTGAATCATATTCTAATGTATTTCTTTTACCTGGGAATTTGAAGAAATTTTATTGTCTTTGAAAAACATAAAGGAAACACTAATACCATGGATGTAACTATTATCATGAATCGACGATCGAGATACCAATGAGAACAGTAATGTTCACCGACAACAAATGTAAGAACTAATGTAATAGGAAAATAAAATAACCTTTTGAAAAGCTAGACGTCAACATACATCGATCTAGTTGATCACCAATAATAATAAAAAATGTTATACTTAAACCATACCTTAAAATTAATAATTATTAGACAAAAAAATGCTTTCAACTTAAAAACTAATTTACATATACAATATAATACAAACAGAACAAACTCTTTGCCAAAATTTTCCACATTTTACAAGAACAAATGCTTCATAAGATGCAATCGATTTATCGCAACAAACGAATAAGATAGCATAGGCACCTATGACCAAAAGTACAACAATCTAATTGTTGAATAAAAAAAGAAAAAACGAATAAAAATAACCAAGAAATTACTGGTGTTGAGGAAGGTCATTACAATTGTATTATTTTGTTTTAATGTTTTTTATTAATTATTCTCCGATTCGAATAATTCATTATTTTAAGACGCTTCGGAGATATCTTTCTCCTTCTTCAGTTTTATTTTATTTGTTGTTATGTTTTTGTTTTTACTATTTATAATACGTATCTGACTATTCTGTTTCTTATTCTGTAATGGTGGAACGAAATGACAAGACAGTAATACTGGCCGATAAAACGTATATGTTTTGACGTTCCGTTCCACTATTAAAGAATAAGAAAAAGAATAGTCAGATACGTATTGTATATAGTAAAAACAAAAACATAACAACAAATAAAATAAAACTGAAGAAGGAGAAAGATATATCCGAAGCGTCTTAAAATAATGAATTATTCGAATCGGAAAATAATTAATACAAAACATTAAAACAAAATAATACAAAAATAACCAAGATTAAAGAATAAACCAAACGTACTGCATGAAGAATTGAACTGACTGCGATACCACCAGCATCATCATAAGCCTTAGCAATATTAAGAAGTCCAGCCTAAGGAAAAGTAGATATTCAAAATAAATTCTAAATCAAATTGTTCCTTTTAAAGAGAAATCCGATGTAATGCAGTTCTTTCATTTGTGATTTTTCCTAAGATCATTTAAGCGTCGATGATACTCTAGACGTATGGCGAGGAGTTATTCAAGGAAAGTTCAGAGAAACTCTTCTAATAATGATAGTAAATGATAATTTCCATCATGAGAAATAGGTCTTGTCTTTGGGAAACATTTCCATAAATTCAAAAGATCAATGCCATGACTATACTTATTTTTTAATTAGTCACGATATTGTTTTGTTGTTCTACATATTTCACGCTGGCAGGGTTTCAGTTTCATAACAACACAATGCACGATCAAAACGAAAAAGCTAATGTTACTCATTATTATAAATTTCTTGTTTTCAAGACTTTTGCTTCATTGTTAACATGATAATCCTTTTTGGTTTCTGTCATCCTAAGTCTTGTGACTTGAATATAACACAAACTATGAAAGATAAGGCCTGTTCTCTGACATGACTTATGTCACTAAAAGTAAGAGTAACATATGGATCGATACGAACGAAAAGAGTTTCGATTACATGTGACTTCTTGTCGAGCATGAACGAAAAAGCTACAGGCATAGCACGATTTGCTCAGTGCTGCCAGCGAAAATACCTTGAAAACAACATGATCGACTGTTGCATGGCGACCAAAACACTACATTCGAAAATTTAAAAAAGTCTGCGAAACAAATGAGAATTTTTTATCGAAAATTAACTTTGAATTATATAACTGCATATTTTTCAAATTATATTATGCATTATGAAATATTCAACTCTTATCTTACTCTACCTTGTATTATTTACCTTCGCTGCATTGCTATCTATCTTTTAGTTAAGAACACAAAACTTAGACTTACCCCCATAGCTGCATTAACGATGAGTCCTGCAGCCATAATCCAAGACATATGTGCTAGAAAGAGAAAATAGTGTATATCAATTAGGTTTTTGTCAATAATACATACATTCCTTTTTAACACCATTGCTCATTAAGTATGTATTTTCATCTGTAGCAATACCGATTATATCCGATTGAATATCCATATTTTATTTTTGTTTTCTTTGTTTTTATTTTGTATAAATATAAAAAGGAAAGCTAGTGGAGTAACCACTGATATTTATCTATTTCATAGTCAAGCGAAGATAAGAACAAAAAAAAGAATAAGAAATACTCTTGTTTCGTTTTTTTAAACTTCGCCAAGTACTCCGTTTATTATTTGTCAAAAATCAATTCAATATTAGATCCTATTTTGGTAGACAGCAAAAAAAAACTAATAAAATCTTTTATTTTTAAGTTGTTTAGCACTTTATTAGATCTTAAACATTATAGACAATGGATGTTTTATGCAACATGAACGATTACATAATATCTAATAAAAACAATAATTTTCGATAAAATTGTCTTTCCACCTTTTGTAATCGATATTCACGAACTAATATCAGTGTGCAATGTTTCAACGTCTTGTCTCAGCAATAGTCTTTTTGGTGATTTCAAAGAGGAAGTCATCATAATAGTTTTTGGATCATCTTTTGTAAAACCAGCAACTGTGTCTTCATGTTGTTCTGTACAAATAATTTTAATTATCATTTGAAGCGATGTAAAGTACTTTGCATCTTTAGTTCACAACGATTTAAATCATACCATGATTATGGGTGTGGGGTGTGGGTGTGGGCGATTATAGACCTGAGCAGTGGACCCACACCCTCAAGATAGTTCCTGTTGAAAATTAGCTCACAGAATTGCAAGTTTGCCTGCCAATTAAGATCATGGCGTTGATCAACTTTTGTTTACAATGGTATTTTTGTGCTTCTTAGTCTGAAAGTGGCACGACCCACGTGATCAATCTTTTTAATTTCTTTTTCAAGAATAGAAATGAAAAATTCGGTTTCTTTCTTTACTTCTTACTTGAATGAGAATAAAACACACATCATAAAAAAACGAGAAATGCAATAGATTAATTTCTTCGTGATCAAAAAAATCAGCATGTTGGTTTTTTCCAATCATTAAAAATCTCATGTTGGAAAAATTTTTATCCTACTGAATTTAAATCTAGATTTTTCTTGTACACAACGTTTTGAAGTAGCAAGAGCAACGTAGACATTTCAAGATCAGTCTTGAAACTTGATTTCACTCGCCTTCAATCTATTAAATCAAAAATTACTTGCAAATAATATCTATGAAAAAAACAGTTATCATGTGAAAATAACTCAAATCGGGATTGATATCAGCCATCTTGGGTATATATGTAAGCATTTAATTCTCTTTTCTGGTAGGTAAACAGACGCCAGTAAGATTTTAATTTATTTAGTAAAATAAATTTCATTCAATCATAATTGCTTTCAAAGAGGTTCCTCAACTCATTCCATAGAATATCCAACATTATTATGAAAAGCGGTATTACCACTGATTTGAAAGAACATCAACTCGAATTTGCTGGAAAACACTTGGTAAATTTCCAGTTCATATGGCTAATACTTGGTTTGATGACAGAAGTCTCTTCACATGATGTTATCAAAAACGAGCAATTGAAGCTATTTACTTGTCTAACAAAAAAAGCTCTCAAAGTACATAAAAGTTTTTCGATGGAGGAATGTGTCCAATTACTAGGGGTGGATCATTTTATTTAACGGCACTTAATTAAAGTTTTTAATTAAGTGACTTTACTTAACGCTTAATATTAAGTGATTAAGTGTTACATAGAAAAATTTATTACTTAATATTAAGTGTTAAATGATTCACTTAATCTTAATATTAAAATTAAGTAAGTCACTTAACACTTAATTTTAAAATGAAGTGTTAAGTGACTTACTTAATTTTAATATTAAGTGTTAAGTAACTCACTTAACTTTAATATTAAGATTAAGTGAGTTACTTAACACTTACTTTTAAAATTAAGTTTTCAAATTTAACACTTAATTCATTAATATTAAGTGATTAAGTGATCGACTTAAAGAAAAAAGCTGTTATTGTGATTTTTTTATCAGACATATGTAAGTGACGAAATACCACTAGTAATTCCTAGAATCTTTTTCACGCGTGCTGTGGTAACCATCATAATAACTCTTGAAAATCTGTCAGCTTTGATTCTTACAATGGTAATCAACATAGTGTTTCCATTTTTAACTAGTTTTCAATGTTACAGCTAGTATTTTCTGTAACAAAAGCAGTAATAGAACATGATGAAGACTATGTGTGCATTTTGTAAGACTAATAGAGTTGAAATGAGTAGAGCTTGTTGAGTTAGGGGTGGCACTTAACGTTAATTTAA